TGTGTGTACGTCTGTGTGTTCGTCTGTGTGTGTGTCTGTGTGTTCGTCTGTGTGTGTGTCTGTGTGTACGTCTGTGTGTTCGTCTGTGTGTGTGTCTGTGTGTTCGTCTGTGTGTACGTCCGTGTGTGTGTACGTCTATGTGTACGTCTGTGTGTGTGTCTATGTGTACGTCTGTGTGTGTGTCTGTGTGTTCGTCTGTGTGTTCGTCTGTGTGTACGTCTGTGTGTGTACATCTATGTGTACGTCTGTGTGTGTGTCTGTGTGTACGTCTGTGTGTGTGTCTGTGTGTTCGTCTGTGTGTTCGTCTGTGTGCACGTCTGTGTGTCTGTGTGTATGTCTGTACGTGTGTGTGTGTGTGTCTGTGTGTTCGTCTGTGTGTACGTCTGTGTGTGTGTACGTCTATGTGTACGTCTGTGTGTGTGTCTGTGTGTACGTCTGTGTGTGTCTGTGTGTTCGTCTGTGTGCACGTCTGTGTGTGTGTCTGTGTGTGTCTGTGTGTGTCTGTGTGTACGTCTGTGTGTGTGTATGTCTGTGTGTACGTCTGTGTGTGTATGTCTGTGTGTACGTCTGTGTATGCCTGTGTGTACGTCTGTGTGTGTGTGTACGTCTGTGTGTATGTCTGTGTGTGTGTCTGTGTGTACGTCTGTGTGTGTCTGTGTGTACGTCTGTGTGTGTATGTCTGTGTGTACGTCTGTGTGTGCGTGTGTCTGTGTGTGTGTGTGTACGTCTGTGTGTGTGTGTATGTCTGTGTGTACGTCTGTGTGTGTGTCTGTGTGTGTCTGTGTGCACGTCTGTGTGTGTGTCCGGGGGGAAACAAAGGCGGCCGGGCGGGCGTTCTCCTGGCCGTTCTTCCTCCTCGTGCGTCCGTACACGGCCTTAATAGGTTCTCGCTAACAACACTTGCACCGACAGTCTGCTGAAGACTATACGGAGCGCCTTTGTCTGTATCTTGTGTGAAGGGTGCCGTGGTGACTCCGTGGTTAGCGCACTGCGCTCGGGAGCCGGCGAGCTCAGCTCGATTCCCGCTCACGGTCAACATCAGTGACGAATATTTAAACCGGTTCTGGGTCGACTCAGGCTCATAGGTCATCTGGTGCGGTGTGTAAACATCAGAACTGGAGAGACAAAGGCGGCCAAGCGTGGTGCTTTCCACATTACCACCACCGCCACGGCCTGAATCGGTACTCGCCAACAGCACTTGCCCCCTGCTATCTACGCTTATATGAGAGCTGTTCGATGTGTGAGTGAGCGTGCGTGCGTGCGAGGAATTAGCGATTCCCCCAACTCCTCAGGAGGAAGGAAGTGAGGTATGCAACGCGTTGGTGGAACTTCACTGGGCTCCGTCCGCTGCGTCCGTGACGATCTGCAGACTCGTGGTGCCACGAGGACTCAGCGGCTCGGCGAGCCGAGGCTCGGGAGCCGCATGGGGCGGCTCTTTCACGACTGCTTCGCGACGTTCCTGATCAAGGATCACGGCGTCGTATCACCGCAGCGCATTGCGCCTCTTGAAGGAGAGATTTTGTTTCTTACAGATGTCGGTAACAATGTCTCTGTTTGTCGCGTCTGGAGAGCCAGCTCCCATACTACTATAGTACTGTACTGTATAAGTAATATAGTACTGTACTGTCTAGTACTATATAGTACTGTACTGTCTAGTACTATACTACTGTACTGTCTAGTACTATCGTACTGCACGCGGTTTAAACGCGCAATGAAGCGGCGCGCCGCGTGGGGTGTTGGTCGATTGGCGGTGCGTCAGCGCGCTGTTCGAGTGGCCGTGCTGGTCCATGCCTTTGTTGTGACGTCTTTATCGATGCAGCCACGCTACTGAGTCGAGGGACTTTAGCCTTAGGCCCCCCGTAACCTGAGTCCTGCGCTGACTCTGCGGCTGAACCCCGGATTGGAACCCAGGCCCCCAGCGTCGGCGGCTCGGCTGCGCCTCTGATCTGTGAGTGAGGCGGCCGCCTGTGGAGCTCACGTGGCGCTTGGGAGCACGCGAGCGCCTGTGATGGACGCGTCTGATGGAGACGAAGTCGTTTTTCCACTGCCGTGTCGTGTGTTTTTTTCCGTTTTACTCCTCCTGCCCATCAAGTCTGGCGGTAGCCGGCCCCTTGAACCGGTGCTACTGGTAAACACGGCTGCTGCTGCTGCTACTACTGTCAGCCCCGAGGCCCATCGCACTCAGAGGGAATGTATGCACATAATAGAGGCGTTTGGGTTATGAAGGTAACTTGCGTTTCACTCAGGCCGGACGGCAGCCGCAGTAACGCTCGTGCCTCGCTGCAAGACGGCCACCTGGGTTCGATTCCCGACTCGGGAGCGCCTTTCCTGTGTGGAGTTTGCGTGTTCTCCGTCGGTTCTGCAAGGTTTGTGGGGGGGGGGGGGGGGGGTAACACACTGCGCTAAGAACCTGACAACTCGAGTTAAATTTCCACTCAGCCAACATTTGAGACAAATATATGAAGAGGTTTTGTGCCTCCCCTAGGTCGGCTTAGCCCAAATGAGCACCTTTCGCTTGGTGCTAAAGGCGACATGGGGGATCTTCGCGTCTTTGTGTGGAGGTTTGACGTTCTCCCCTCGTTCTGCATGAGTTTCCTCCGGGTTCTCCGGTTTCCTACCAAGATCTAACAAACCAATCCACGTACACGCACAATGTAACTGGTGGCGACCGATAATAGAACTTGCCAATGCTGAGAAGTGCAATTGGGATTACGCGAGCAACATCGCCCCCCCCCCCGCTACCGGCAGGCTGATGCCCGCTTGCAGGCCACGTGCCGAGTCACCTCGCACCGCGCATTGGGGCAGCTGCCGCTGGGGGTGCCCTTCGCATTGTCCGAGACGGGGCGCGACGAACGGCGCTCGGAGTTGCTGACGCGTTGAAGCCAGGGCCAAGAGAGAACTCACACGAGTGTCGGTGTGTGGAGAGCTTCTTTCGCACTGCTTGTCGCCATCCGTGCTAATCGTAAGCGCGACGAAGACGGGGCCGTGCCCTGTTTCCCTGTCGTGATCCCATCACGGGCTGTGTGTGTGTCTGTGTGTGTGTGTGAGATTGTTGATGTTTTGGCTTTGCTGATACGATGTTGACATCGACTGAATCACCGTCAGCCTGGCGGTTTGCCAAGCCCGTTTATGGCAATCGGGTGACCAATTTAAATGTTCAGCCCCCTGTCATTCCACTGCTGGATGAAAGCCTCTCCCACGCCGTGTCGATCACAGAGGTCATACTTCCCCACGCTGGTCAGTACGGATGTATGGCGTGCGCGGTAAATATCGAACACAGGTCGCCGCGTTCGTAGATGGATCGTTCGTCGCAGGATCGTGGGAGATTGTCGGCGGTTGCGGGTTGGGAGAGGCCTTCATTCAGCAGTGGACTGATCATGGCTGCTGCTGTGTTATGGATGATGATTTGTCTCCTGCTGTGACTCCCCCCCCCCCCCCCCCAGCGGCGTGCGCGCGAGCGCGACGCGACCCGCCTGGCCGCGAGAATTCGCCCCGGGGCGCGACGGCTCCGGGGACCCTCGGCACCGACGTCGCGGACGGAGAGAAGCGATCTGCGGGGTGGAGTGGCGGTGGTGGCGGTGGTGGCGGTTGTGGTGGCGATGGTGGTGGTGGCGGTGGTAGCGATGGTGGTGGTGGCGGTGGTGGTGGTGGCGGTGGCGGCGGTTTCTCCGCGTGCCTCGAGCGTCCAGCGCGACCGCAACACCGCTCCCCCCACACGCCCTCTCTTCTCCCCACCTCGCTCCATCTGCACGTCTCAAAAACAAAGAGACAACAAAGATCCCCCGTATAGCCTTGACAGGCTGTTGGGGCAAGTGCTGTTCATCTTTGGGGGCACACGAGGGGGCGGGTGGCCAACACCACCCTCGGTCGCCTTTGTCTCCCTAGTGGCGATGTCTACACACCGGACCAAACTAAACGGGAAGCATTCCATCTGACACCGTGACATCGACACGCAGCCCTCCTCCCCCCAAATTGCGGGGCCCGGGCGGTCGCCCGGATTCGCCGTACCCTCGGGACGGCTCTGCAGCAGAGGGAGCACAGCGACACATGGCGACATCCATTCACCCGGGGAAGCCTCACTGAGTCCCAAGACGCCTTGAAAGGAGCGTCCTGCAGTAATGTCCGGATTGTACCGATGGAATTCCAAAATAAAAACAGATGCTTTGATGATGGATGCTGCTGCTGCGTTCACTGTGATGCACAATGAACGACACAACTCAACACGTTCCTCAATAGTAACACGTGAGTGGTCTTAAACATAAAATATATATCAGGCGACGTTTCGGCAATGGTCCTTAATGGCACGTGGAGGGTGAGAGGCGTGCGCGCCACACGGTGTTGGGGCAGCGGTCCCACACTGCCGCCTGCTGCTCGAGAGCGAGCACAGCAGCGCTCTCATCTCTCTCTCATCTCACTCATCTCACTCGACTCCCCTCCACGCACTCTCCTACCTCTCCACTCTCACCTCACTCCACTCCCCTCCACTCACACTCCCACCTCTCCCTCTCATCTCACTCTACTCCCCTCCACTCACACTCCTGCCTCTCATCTCACTCTACTCCGCCTCCACTCCCACCTCTCCCCTCTCTTCTCACTCTACTCCCCTCCACTCACACTACCACCTCCACTCTCATCTCACTCTACTCCCCTCCACTACCACCTCTCCCTCTCTTCTCACTCTACTCCCCTCCACTCACTCTCCCACCTCTCCCTCTCATCTCACTCTACTCCCCTCCACTCCCACCTCTCATCTCACTCTACTCCGCTCTCGTCTCATTCATCTCTCTAATCCCCTGAGACGGATGCCTCTGCTCCTCTTCTCGTCGTCGTCTGTCCACAGCTTCACCCCGATTCCGCGCCTCTCGACTCGCGGGAGGCAGATATCAAAGAGCTACGTCTGAGATCATGAACCTCTTCCAGTGACCTCTGGTCGACGCACAGCAGAAGAGGAGGAAAGGCTTCCGTCTGGAGAGATTAGAGAGAACGAATGCGTTCCACCCATTCTCTAAGAATGGCAACTTTATTGGGGCTCGCGTTACAAGCTCGCAATCAGCCGAGTGACTCGTGGTCGACGGCCGGTAGAAGACAACGCGGGCAGTGCAAGCGGGGGAGTCGGCGACTCAGTGCAAAGATTTACATCGATGTCAGGGCGATTCGTAAAAACACACACCTGGCTCCACTGGGTGAGACGCGTGGGGCGCATGGGGGAGGAGGAAGGGGTAAGGGGGGGGGAGAGAAGACCGAAGAGCAGACGGTGGGAGACTGTCAGGGCAGATCTATGGGTCTCTGTGTGAATGTATATTTCTCTGTGTGAGTCGGTGGGTCTCTTTTTGAGTCTATAGTTACGTGTCTATGGGTCTCTATGTGAGTCTGTGTCTCTACGCGAGTCTGTGGGTCTGTGAGTCCATGGATTTGTGTGTGAATCTGCGAGTCTCTATGTGAATTTAAGGGTATCTATAGGTCTCCTTGTGAGCATGTGTTTTTGAGTCTTTCTGTGAGTCTATGGGTCTCTATGTGAGTCTATGGGTCTCTGTGAATACTTTGAATCGGTCTCGATGGAAATCTATGAGCAGACAGTGGGCGGCTTGGTATTGCAGATCTTGGAGGTCGCTGCATGGTCGTGGTGGTGGTCGTGGTCGTGGTGGTCGTGGTCGTGGTGGTGGTGGTCGTGGTGGTGGTGGTCGTGGTGGTGGTGGTGTTGCGGTATTTTATTGATCTTCAACGTGAGGGGGGCGCTCGTGGATGAATGGACGTCTGACATTGAAGAACGATAACAAAGCAAATCAACAGGGCGCTTACACCCGCGAGCGTGAACACCCAAACAACAAACAAACAAACAACAAACAAACAACAAGAAATCGGCCGCTCGCTCGCTCCGTAGTCGGGACGCGAGTGCCGGCGGCCAGGGAACCCCGGCGGAGCGCTCGCGGGCAGCGCGGCGCACACGGAGCCGCTCCCGGCGGCTCTGAGAGCCGCTCTCAGAGCCGCTCCCGGCTCTCAGAGGAGATCGTGAGCCAGGCTGGCGCCGCCCATCCCGAGGCCGACTCTCATCCTCGCCGCCGCTCCGACCTCGCTGCCGAGGCGGCCCGCCGCCCAGCCCCGCGCGTCGTCGCGCGCCGCGGCGCGGTCGACGCACGCCTCGTAGCCGTCGCTCCCCACGTGCAGCGCGGCGCACGCCAGCCGGAGCCGGCACGGCCCCTGGCACCAGCGGTCCGCCGTGAAGCTCACGAGGAAGTGGCGCGCGTACAGGGCGAAGGCGGCGTCGGCGGAGGGGCCCCGGGCCAGCATGAGGTGCCCGAGCGCCAGCAGGCTGCCGGGGCGCAGGTCGGGCAGGCCGAACGCCTCGGCCATGCGGTACTCGAGGGCCCAGGAGGCCTTCCCGCGCTCGTTGGCCTCCGTCAGGTTCAGGTAGAACTGAGACAGCTCCTGCGAGAGGGGGTGGATGGGGGTGGGCAGGGGTAGCGGGGCGCCGGTGGCTCGCGGGGGCAGTGGGGGAGACGGCTACCAGAGTCGCTCGGCCAATCAGAGACGTGGAAACGCCGAGCGAACGTCGCGAACGGAGGGCTGGAAGCAATCCGGTTGACCTGCGTTGTCAACTCAGGTTGAGTCAACTCGACTTGTGATGAGTTAGCTGAAGCTAGTTCCAGTCAACTCCAGCTAACTCGAGGTAAACTGGTAACCGTCAGGCAGTCACCGGTGCCAGAGGAATGTTTCGTAACGAACGCGCTGATCGGCATTGCCGCGGACGTACACACCGCACGGCGCAGGCCTAAGTCACCACGTGGTTCGGCGCAAGGCGCAGTGCCTGCAAGTGCTCACTGTCGCCACTGCTGGCGGAACGGGGTCTCCACTAGAGGCGCTCCAGAGTGGTGCCGTGTACGCTGCCAATAACTGCCCCACCGTGGCGGCTGCCTCCTCCGTCTCTCAGTTAAGAAGCCAAAGAGGCCGTCTCGATCGCTCCACGACGTTTCTCTACGTGCGTGCGGAAAAACTGGAATGAACCGGTTCTCCACACGGTTACCAGCGATGCAAAGCAACCGCCTGTAAGTGCGCGAGTCTGTAACGAGGTCCGTCTGGCTTCCCGCAGCCAAACGCGCATGCACGCACGCAGGCACACACACGAAGACAACGATTCCCTGTATAGCCTTGACAGACTGTTCGGGCAAGTACCGTTAATGAGCACCTATGAAGGCACAGCACACAAGGGGGTGGGTGGCCAACACCACGCCCGGCTGCCCCCGTCTCCCCAGTGGCGATGTTTACACACCGTCTAGGTGCTCTTTTGAGGCTGGGTCGACCTAGGGGGGCCCATGACCAGCTCAAATAATCGTCACTGGTGTTGGCCATGAGCGAAAATTGAACTCTGGTCGCCGGGTTCGTAGCGCAGCACGTTAACAGCTACACTACCACTCCCAACTACCACACACAACAACAACCGCCACTATGTGGCGGTGACGTCACCACAACGCTTGTGCCAGGCCATGTGCACCTTGAGGCCACGTGAAGTGTCAAACGCCCGCTGGCAGGAGGTCACGGGGCAGACCCAGCAGGTGCCACGGGTTGACTGACTGAGACGACTGGCTGATGCACTACCTGTGCCCCCTACTGTGCCAACTTGCTGTGCTTTAGCCACCCGGCACTCCGCTCGTTGTTGTGAACGTCGCTCCTCCGCCCTCCGTTGTTGTTGGAGGGCGACTGCCTCCAACTGCCCAATACCACACACAGACACACGCAGACAGGCACGCACCTCAATAGCCAGGTCGCGCTGGCTGTAGTTGTAGGAGCGGAAGCCGGGGTTGTTGGCGAGCGGTATGGCCACCGAGCCGTTGTTAGAGCGCCAGGGCGTGATGGCCGGAGACACGAACATGCTGCCCAGAGCCGCCCCTAGCACATGGCCAGAGACACAAACATGCTGCCCAGAGCCACCCCTAGCCCACGGCCAGAAACACAAACACGCTGCCCAGAGCCACCCCTAGCACCTGGCCAGAGACACAAACATGCTGCCCATAGCTGCCCCTAGCCCACGGCCAGAGACACAAACACGCTGCCCATAGCCACCCCTAGCACACAGCCAGAGACACAAACACGCTGCCCAGAGCCACCCCTAGCACACAGCCAGAGACACAAACACGCTGCCCAGAGCCACCCCTAGCACACAGCCAGAGACACGAGCACGCTGCCCATAGCCGCCCCTAGCACACGGCCAGAGACACGAACATGCTGCCCAGAGCCACCCCTAGCACACAGCCAGAGACACAAACACGCTGCCCATAGCTGCCCCTAGCCCACGGCCAGAGACACAAACACGCCGCCCAGAGCCGCCCCTAGCACACGGACAGAGACACAAACACGCTGCCCATAGCCGCCCCGAGCACACAGCCAGAGACACAAACACGCTGCCCATAGCCGCCCCTAGCACACGGCCAGAGACACAAACACGCCGCCCAGAGCCGCCCCTAGCACACGGCCAGAGACACAAACACGCCGCCCAGAGCCGCCCCTAGCACACGGCCAGAAACACAAACACGCCGCCCAGAGCCGCCCCTAGCACACGGCCAGAAACACAAACACGCCGCCCAGAGCCGCCCCTAGCACACGGCCAGAGACACGAACATGCTGCCCATAGCCGCCCCTAGCACACGGCCAGAGACACAAACATGCTGCCCAGAGCCGCCCCTAGCACACAGCCAAAGACACGAACACGCTGCCCAGAGCCGCCCCTAGCACACGGCCAGAGACACAAACATGCTGCCCAGAGCCTCCCCTAGCACACAGCCAGAGACACGAACACGCTGCCCAGAGCCACCCCTAGCACACAGCCAGAGACACGAACATGCTGCCCATAGCCGCCCCTAGCACACAGACAGAGACACAAACACGCTGCCCAGAGCCGCCCCTAGCACACAGCCAGAGACACAAACACGCCGCCCATAGCTGCCCCTAGCACACGGCCAGAGACACAAACACGCCGCCCAGAGCCGGCCCTAGCACACAGCCAGAGACACAAACACGCCGCCCATAGCTGCCCCTAGCACACGGCCAGAGACACAAACACGCCACCCAGAGCCGCCCCTAGCACACAGCCAAAGACACAAACACGCCGCCCATAGCCGCCCCTAGCACACGGCCAGAGACACAAACACGCCGCCCAGAGCCGCCCCTAGTACACAGCCAGAGACACAAACACGCCGCCCAGAGCCGCCCCTAGCACACAGCCAGAGACACAAACACGCTGCCCAGAGCCGCCCCTAGTACACAGCCAGAGACACAAACACGCTGCCCAGAGCCGCCCCTAGCACACAGCCAGAGACACAAACACGCTGCCCAGAGCCGCCCCTAGCACACGGCCAGAGACACGAGCACGCTGCCCAGAATGCATGTTTTTTTGGGTTAGATCGCGTAAATATATATATGTGTCGTTAAACCCGCCACCACCCGACACAGCCAATTAGTAATGGTTGTCACGTGAACAGAACGTGCCAATTCATTACTAGTACAGCACACCGGTGTGTTGGAGAGCAAATCCACAACATTTCCAATCTGAATACGGCCTCCCCCAACTAGCATCATCAGGCGACAGCCAGAGTTGTGGAGAAATCCACCCGTTTTGTTCCTTAAATAGAGAGATAGATGTGACATCATCACTTGTGAGCCAATCAGGTGTGAAGACAAGAGGGGGGATTCACGTAGTAACGTAATAATGCGCTGCACCTGCGGGGCTCTGCAGCACCATGAAGCAGTCGGTGTGCAGGTGGCCGTAGAGGTGAGCGGCGATCACGTCCGCAAACTCGCTGAACACCGCCACGAGGCGCGCGTTGTACTCGGGCCGCACGAACGTCCCGGGGCTCAACTCGGGCTTGTACCCCGGAGGGACGTGAGCCACAACGTACACCTACAGGGAGCAAGACGCACACATACAGGCACCACGACGTACAGCTACAGGCAAATAGACGCACACATACAGGCAGCAAGACGCACACATACAGGCACCACAACGCACACATACAGGCACCACAACGTACACCTACAGGCAGCAAGACGCACACATACAGGCAGCAAGACACACAGCTACAGGCAGCAAGATGAACACATACAGGCAGCAAGACGTACACCTACAGTCGTCAAGACGCACACCTACAGGTGCCACGGCGTGCATCTACAGGCACCACGATATACACTTACAGGCAACACAGCATACATATATCTACAGGCGGCACGGCGTGCACGTACGGGCAGCACGACATAGACATACAGGTGCCACGACGTACACCTACGGGCGCCGCGCCGGGACTCATGGTGCCGCCCCCCACCCCCAGGCCTGCCACCTGCCCCCCACCCCCAGGCCTGCCCCCAGCCCCCCACCCCCAGGCCTGCCCCCAGCCCCCAGCCCCCCACCCCCAGGCCTGCCCCCAGCCCCCCACCCCCAGGCCTGCCCCCAGCCCCCCACCTCCAGGCCTGCCCCCAGCCCCCAGCCCCCCACCCCCAGGCCTGCCCCCAGCCCCCCACCCCCAGGCCTGCCCCCAACCCCCCACGGCACCTTCTCCTGGTGGCGGCGCGCCAGCGAGAGGACGTCGCGCAGCCAGGCCAGCTGGCCGCCGGGGTCCGGCAGGCCCAGCGTCTGGCGGTTGGGCGTGTAGTACAGGTTGGTGTTGAGGCTGACCACGCGCAGTGCCGCGCCGCTGCTCGCACCGGGCACCAGCTGCGTGTAGAAGCCGGCTGCGCGAAATGGGGGCAGGGGAGCGATGGAGGGGGGGGGCAGCGGGAGACACGGCAGTGGTGAGTCGATCGATCCGCTGCTGGATGGATCGAGGCTCGATGAGTGGAGGTGGAGCGAGCGAGTGTGGGAATCGGAGTCCGCCCGGGCCGACTCGCGCCACGGGGAGTTTATCGTTCATCGATGATTTACGTCTGCGCGATATTTTCGATTTCTTGTGTGACGTGGTTGCTCTTGCATCGATTTCTATTTATTTCACTGCCGAATCTGTACTCCTACCAGCAAGAAAGATGTTCAAACACCGTTTAGCACTTGGCATCAAGTCTGCAGTAACCACGCATGCTCCTGGTAAAACATGTGTAGAGGTGTTACGTAACGGGGAGAAACGGGCAGTTACACTGGGGTGTCTACATCCACGTCCGCAAACGGTTACCACCCTGGGGGGCTGTCTGGGGGAGAGGCTGGGATCCCACACAGCCCCGCCCCTCGAGGGCATGTTGGTATATAAGGCGAAGAGCGAGACAGCTCGAGGCAGTCGTTGGGTACAGCTCAAGATGAAGAGCCAGTGAAGACTGAACTACCCTGACTCGCTGTTCTTGTAAGAGCCGAACAGGGCAAGCCAGTGGCGACCTCAGAGCAGCGAGATCTGATGTCCTTGTAAGGGCCAGACTCGTGTGGCTGAGGGTCGGAACCTGCGCCGAAGCTGGGCCAGGTTAGCTAGCCTACATTTGGGGAAGGTCTGGGATAGAGGGAAGTAAGGAGTTAACGGGGAGCATTAGCTGGAGAACACTTCCTCTAATAGACCGGGTGAAGAGGCCGATACCTCTTCGAGTGTTAGAGTCGTTACTCTGCTGTACTGAATTTAATTGTAATACGTGTTGCCTCCATCAACTTCTCCTGCGTCACATACGCCCGTTATACATGCAAACAAACGTGCTTAGGTAATGTAGACATTCACCTTGAAACTGACTGCCTACACCAGTGACAGCCTCATCTATGGCCTTGTCTGACCACCGATGTTCGACCACAAGACAACGCCAGAAGGCGAACAGCACAGAGACAACGCCAATATGCTCGACCCGACCCGTGAGTGCTTTGATAATTGCCTACAGCAACGGTGCTTGGTCTTTGTGATGTTTCCCTGAAGGACGCTACACAAAAACAAATGATTATTGTTGCTACTCTTGACCACAATTCCAGTGATGTACCCAAGAGACATTCTAATGGGGGTGGCTGCTGCCTCTGCTACATTGGGACGCTCGACCACGCATTCCATTATTCGTGAGAGGTTGGCTTCGTGTGGGAGGAAAGCGCAGAGCCCGGAGAAAACCCACCAGGCACAAGAGGGGTTCGGACACTCGAAGCTCCGCATGGATAGATTCATGAATGTACTGTGTGTGTGTGTGTCGCTGTGCGCCACTCGCCCTTCCTGAACAAGGCCTGCGACTCCTCCGTGAGCCAGCCGCTCCACATGTCGGCGACGCGGTCGTACAGTTCGCTGCCCGCCACCGGGTCCTGGTCCTGAAACAGCGACAGAGACAAAGATCCCCCCGATAGCCTCTACGGGATTCTTGGAGCCAAGTGCTGAGTTGGGCCACATGCCGACTTTGTACGCTGCAGAGCGTGAACGAGCGAGTGTGAGTGAGCATGCATTCTGTGTGAGAGTGGGGAGCGGTATAGTGTAGCGGTTAGCGCGCTGCGCTATGCACTCAGCGACACGGGTTCAATTCCCGCTCGCGGCCAACACCAGTGACAATTATCTGAACCGGTCCTGGGCCTCCCCTAGGTCGACTCAGCCTCAAATGAGTACCTGGTGCGGTGTGTAAACATCGCCACTCGGGAGACAAAGGCGGTCGGGCGTGGTGCAGGCCACCCACCCCCTCGTATACTGTTCCGGCCTTCATAGGTGCTCGCTAACAGCACTTGCCCCTACAGTCTGTTAAGACTATACGGAAGATCTTTGTCTTTGTGGTATTTGCATGTTATCTCTGTTCTGCATGGGTTCCTCCCATAGCCAAATAGCCACATACAGTGTAACCGGTATTGGCCAAACATCCCAATGCTGGAACATTACACTGCAAATCGCTCAATTAGATCCACAGCAGCAGCATCAGCATCACCTGCTCCACTGTGAAAACTTGGCAGGACCCTCCTGCACAAGAGCCTTGAGACTCTGTGAGGCTTTCCTGGGTAAACAAGCATCATTATAAATAATAATAATGATAAGAAAGATGATGATGTGAGTGGTGAGGGTGGTGTCACCTGCGGCCAGTAATCGTGATTTCCCAACGCAGGAATCACGGGCGTGTTCGGGAACGTGGATCGGATAAGCGCCGTGAAGTTGCCCATGATCTCAAGCACCTCCTGCGTGGACAGCTCCTTAACGGGCAGGTGCGGGGGGCTGTCCCTGCCGCGACGGGAGATCACACTGAGTCAGATCGCGAGCGGCATTATGCCACCGCCACCACCACGGAGCCCACCAAACAACCCGGGCTTCCTCTCTCACCCAGTCTTCTCAGGCTTTGATTGGTCAGCTGGAGTTTGCATGTGGCCAGTGAGCCACAGCTATAGCGACAGTGCCAGGGTCAGGTGGGCGGTCATCGCCTTCTGTACGGAGAGCGTCCACGATCGGCGGACGCAGCCCACGCCACCTCCCATCAACTCGAGACGGACTCTGGTCACAGATTGCCTTTCTCGCCTTTTCATCTCAACCTCACCCCCCAAATTTGTCACGGCTCCGACGTAAAACAGACCACAGTGCAAGTTCCACAAATTCCCAGCTGTCTTTGTCTCGAACCATCCAGAGAACCCTATCGAGATGAACCATTTCCAGGGAAAGGGTCAAGGCAAACGGAACATAACTATCAGGGGTTAGCAAAGAACAACGTGCGGGAAAGTGCAACGATTTCCAGGAGTTACAGAGCGATGAAATAACGCAAGTCACGTGAACAAGATCTCCGTTAAGGGCAGCAGAAAGTCGGTCTGGCTATGAGATCAACACATTCCTCGCAGCTAGCGGTGAACGTCCAGACGCCAACGCTCGGCCAATGTGGTGTATACGACCACTCATTACTCCTCGCCTCGGCCACCTATTCAATCCCATTGTGCGATCGTATTTGTATGAAGTTCATGGACATTCACCTTTAGCCCCCAGTAAATCCACTCCTGGACTGGCGCATGGCGAACCGTGACGGCCCTGTGCTCTGTGCCTCCCGAGTTCGTGATCATGAAACGATTTGTCTGTTTGCGTGAAAACTGCGCGTGTTAAAAACTCTTTATGTTTGTTATTAGAACAGCGTTGTCAGCCCAAGCTCGAAATTCTCGGTCTCGGGCCTAAGCAGGGCCACCGAGGCTGCGAGCTCACGGGTAGCAGACGCGGGCCGGGCAGGGTGGCGAGGGCACAAGCACGCAGGGTTCGAAGGTCGTTGGCACGGACCGAGCGCAGTTGCAAAGGTGACGAGGCTGCCAGCTCATCTACTGTTGAGGTATCTGTGTAACACCACAGTTGGCAGATCTATTTTGAGGAAATTCCAGTCGCTGGCACTGTAGTGATGAGCGCCAGACCAAAACACGGTATCACGAGGTCGACGCGAGGCTAAATACCAACGGCACGCAGGTACATTTTGTGTTGATATGAGGGATGTACCCTCATGGCACCCGGCCACATCCATCAAATCGCTGTTTGCCGAAACTCAAAGAAACGTGAACCGGAGCAGAAATCAACCGCGACGCGTCGACCCAAGTACAGCCAAATAAACTATGGACAGATGGCAGGCAGGTTTTTTGGGTGAGATCGCATAAATATAAATGTGTCGTTAACCCACCACAGCCAATTAGTAAGGTTTGTCACGTAAACAAAAAGGAGCAATTGATTACAAGCAGCCTCATCAGGCGATTTGCCAGAATTGTGAAGAAGTCTTCCTGTTTGCGTCTGAACGCTTGGGCGGAACGCCGTGGAACCTGCGCGGAGGGCGGGGGGAGCGTGGGGGGGGGCGTGGGGGGGGGAGCGTGGGGGGGGGGAGCGTGGGGGGGAGCGTGGGGGGGAGCGTGGGGGGGAGAGCGTGGGGGGGAGCGTGGGGGGGGGAGCGTGGGGGGGGGAGCGTGGGGGGGGAGCGTGGGGGGGAGCGTGGGGGGGGAGCGTGGGGGGGAGTGGGGGGGGGAGCGTGGGGGGGAGCGTGAGGGGGGGAGCGTGGGGGGGAGTGTGAGGGGGGGAGCGTGGGGGGGAGCGTGGGGGGGGGAGCGTGGGGGGGAGCGTGGGGGGGAGCGTGGGGGGGAGCGTGGAGGGGGAGCGTGGGGGGGAGCGTGGGGGGGAGCGTGGGGGGGGAGCGTGGGGGGGAGCGTGGGGGGGAGCGTGGGGGGGAACGTGGGGGGGGAGCGTGGGGGAGGAGCGTGGGGGGGAGCGTGGGGGGGAGTGTGGGGGGGCGTGGGAGGGGGAGCGTGGGGGGGGCGTGGGGGGGGGAGCGTGGGGGGGAGCGTGGGGGGGAGTGTGGGGGGGAGCGTGAGGGGGGAGTGTGGGGGGGGGAGCGTGGGGGGGAGCGTGGGGGGGAGCGTGGGGGGGAGCGTGGGGGGGAGTGTGGGGGAGAGCGTGGGGGGGGAGCGTGGGGGGGAGCGTGGGGGAGAGCGTGGGGGGGAGTGTGGGGGGGAGTGTAGGGGGAGCGTGGGGGGGGAGCGTGGGGGGGGGAGCGTGGGGGGGAGCGTGGGGGGGAGTGTGGGGGGGAGTGTGGGGGGGAGCGTGGGGGGGGAGTGTGGGGGGGGAGCGTGGGGGGGAGTGTGGGGGGGAGCGTGTGGGGGGGAGCGTGGGGGGGGGAGAGTGGGGGGGGGCGTGGGGGGGGGGAGCGTGGGGGGGAGCGTGGGGGGGGAGCGTGGGGGGGAGCGTGGGGGGGAGCGTGGGGGGGAGTGTGGGGGGGAGCGTGTGGGGGGGAGCGTGGGGGGGGAGAGTGGGGGGGGGCGTGGGGAGCGTGGGGGGGAGCGTGGGGGGGGAGCATGGGGGGGTACCCGGTCCACACGAGGAAGTCCGGGTCGGGGTCGAGGCTGCGCATGCTCTCCAGGGCGGACTGCACGAGGCGCCAGGCCGAGTCGCACATGTGCGAGCCGAAGGGGCCCGCGTCGCGCACGGGCAGCCCCCGCGAGGAGCGGCACACCGACTCCGGCGCCGCGTCCGCCCGGTAGCTCGGGTCCAGGTGCAGGTCGCTCAGGTGCCAGAACACGCCTGGGGGTGACGCGGGCGGGGAGATGCGCGGTGAGGCGCGTGTGGACGCACGTGGAGAGACACACGGGTACACGCAGGAATATATACGTGGACACGTGCGGGGAGACGAGCGGCGAGGCACGCGAACACGTGCTTGCGGGGTTGCTCAAACTGAGAGGAAATACGGGAAGTGAGGAAATTCACTTCATGAACAGCGCTGCAAATTTCGGTTCTGGAAAAATATTACGACAGGGTCGTCGATACGATAAACGGAAGTAATTTCCAAAGTCAACGAGAACAACTTTACGAGGAAAGTTGCAAAGTTGGGCTCGTAAAGAGTTGAAGGGTGAGGAAGGTGAGACGATGGGCCGCGCGAGGCCACAGGCCCTTGGCAAGTCATTGACAGCAACCTGCGTCAGCACAATCAGCGATCACAGAGGCATCGGTGGACAGGGCCAAGGGAGGCCACAAGGAGCGGCTTCCTTGGGCGTAGAGGAGCCATTGGGGATCATCTCCCATTTACAGCCCTGCAGGAGAAGTGGTGGAAAATGTCACCCCTATGATGGGGGCGAGTCTACCCATAGAACAACCTACACAGTGGTTGAGTAAGCCCCCATAACTTGGGTTGATCTCCTCCGGACCACGCTCATCCTACGGTGATCCGTCCGAATGACCGTTCCGCGAACGAACGGAGAGAGCGAAATCATCACGAGCGAGGTCATCACGAGTGAGGTCATCACGAGCGAAATCATCACGAGCGAGGTCATCACGAGCGAGGTCATCACGAGCGAGGTCATCACGAGCGAGGTCATCACGGGCGAGGTCATCACGAGCGAGGTCATCACGAGCGCGGTCATCACGGGCGAGGTCATCACGAGCGAGGTCATCACGAGCGAGGTCATCACGGGCGAGGTCATCACGAGCGAGGTCATCACGGGCGAGGTCATCACGGGCGAGGTCATCACAGGCGAGGTCATCACGGGCGAGGTCATCACGGGCGAGGTCATCACGAGCGAGGTCATCACGAGCGAGGTCATTACGAGCGAGGTCATCACGAGCGAGGTCATCACGAGCGAGGTCATCACGGGCGAGGTCATCACGAGCGAGGTCATCACGAGCGAGGTCATCACGAGCGAGGTCATCACGAGCGAGGTCATCACGGGCGAGGTCATCACGAGCGAGGTCATCACAGGCGAGGTCATCACGAGCGAGGTCATCACGAGCGAGGTCATCACGAGCGCGGTCATCACGAGCGCGATCATCACGAGCGCGATCATCACGGGCGAGGTCATCACGAGCGAGGTCATCACGAGCGAGGTCATCACGAGCGAGGTCATCACGAGCGAGGTCATCACGAGCGAGGTCATCACGAGCGAGGTCATCACGAGCGAGGTCATCACGAGCGCGGTCATCACGAGCGCGATCATCACGAGCGAGGTCATCACGAGCGCGATCATCACGAGCGAGGTCATCACGGGCGAGGTCATCACGAGCGCGGTCATCACGGGCGAGGTCATTACGAGCGAGGTCATCACGAGCGAGGTCATCACGAGCGAGGTCATCACGGGCGAGGTCATCACGAGCGAGGTCATCACGGGCGAGGTCATCACGGGCGAGGTCATCACGAGCGAGGTCTGCCGCCGTCTCCTGGCGAGCCGGGGAAAGGGGACCCTCCTCGGAGCCCGCAGGGATAGCGGAGTTTGGCAACCCGAAGTTGCGGTTCACCGACCCATGCCCGCTGCCTTCCACACTTCGTGATTACGGGCCACGTGCAGCGTAGCCGCCGCCACTGCCATCCGGCTATGACGAGAGAGGGTGTGAGTGGTGAGGGAGTCGTGCTGGGTGGTGAGTGGTGAGGGAGTCGCGCTGGGTGGTGAGTGGTGAGGGAGTCGTGCTGGGTGGTGAGTGGTGAGGGAGTCGTGCTGGGTGGTGAGTGGTGAGGGAGTCGCGCTGGGTGGTGAGTGGTGAGGGAGTCGTGCTGGGTGGTGAGTGGTGAGGGAGTCGTGCTGGGTGGTGAGTGGTGAGGGAGTCGTGCTGGGTGGTGAGTGGTGAGGGAGTCGTGCTGGGTGCTGAGTGGTGAGGGAGTCGTGCTGAGTGGTGAGTGGTGAGGGAGTCGCGCTGGGTGGTGAGTGGTGAGGGAGTCGTGCTAGGTGGTGAGTGGTGAGGGAGTCGTGCTGGGTGGTGAGTGGTGAGGGAGTCGTGCTGGGTGCTGAGTGGTGAGAGAGTCGTGCTGAGTGGTGAGTGGTGAGGGAGTCGCGCTGGGTGGTGAGTGGTGAGGGAGTCGTGCTGGGTGGTGAGTGGTGAGGGAGTCGTGCTGGGTGGTGAGTGGTGAGGGAGTCGTGCTGGGTGCTGAGTGGTGAGGGATTCGTGCTGGGTGCTGAGTGGTGAGGGAGTCGTGCTGGGTGCTGAGTGGTGAGGGAGTCGCGCTGGGTGGTGAGTGGTGAGGGAGTCGTGCTGGGTGCTGAGTGGTGAGGGAGTCGTGCTGGGTGGTGAGTGGTGAGGGAGTCGTGCTGGGTGGTGAGGGAGTCGTGCTGGGTGGTGAGTGGTCAAGGAGTCGTGCTGGGTGCTGAGTGGTGAGGGAGTCGTGCTGGGTGGTGAGTGGTGAGGGAGTCGTGCTGGGTGGTGAGTGGTCAAGGAGTCGTGCTGGGTGCTGAGTGGTGAGGGAGTCGTGCTGGGTGGTGAGTGGTGAGGGAGTCGCGCTGAGTGGTGAGTGGTGAGGGAGTCGTGCTGGGTGGTGAGTGGTGAGGGAGTCGCGCTGGGTGGTGAGTGGTGAGGGAGTCGCGCTGAATGGTGAGTGGTGAGGGAGTCGTGCTGGGTGGGGAGTGGTGAGGGAGTCGTGCTGGGTGGTGAGTGGTGAGGGAGTCGTGCTGGGTGGTGAGTGGTGAGGGAGTCGTGCTGGGTGGTGAGTGGTGAGGGAGTCGTGCTGGGTGGTGAGTGGTGAGGGAGTCGTGCTGGGTGGTGAGTGGTGAGGGAGTCGCGCTGAATGGTGAGTGGTGAGGGAGTCGTGCTGGGTGGTGAGTGGTGAGGGAGTCGTGCTGGGTTGTGAGTGGTGAGGGAGTCGTGCTGGGTGGTGAGTGGTGAGGGAGTCGTGCTGGGTGGTGAGTGGTGAGGGAGTCGTGCTGGGTGGTGAGTGGTGAGGGAGTCGTGCTGGGTGGGGAGTGGTGAGGGAGTCGCGCTGGGTGGTGAGTGGTGAGGGAGTCGTGCTGGGTGGTGAGTGGTGAGGGAGTCGTGCTGGGTGCTGAGTGGTGAGGGAGTCGTGCTGGGTGGTGAGTGGTGAGGGAGTCGTGCTGGGTGGTGAGGGAGTCGCGCTGGGTGGTGAGTGGTGAAGGAGTCGTGCTGGGTGGTGAGTGGTGAGGGAGTCGCGCTGAGTGGTGAGTGGTGAGGGAGTCGTGCTGGGTGGTGAGTGGTGAGGGAGTCGTGCTGGGTGGTGAGTGGTGAGGGAGTCGCGCTGGGTGGTGAGTGGTCAAGGAGTCGTGCTGGGTGCTGAGTGGTGAGGGAGTCGTGCTGGGTGGTGAGTGGTGAGGGAGTCGTGCTGGGTGGTGAGTGGTGAGGGAGTCGCGCTGGGTGGTGAGTGGTGAGGGAGTCGTGCTGGGTGGTGAGTGGTGAGGGAGTCGTGCTGGGTGGTGAGTGGTGAGGGAGTCGCGCTGGGTGCTGAGTGGTGAGGGAGTCGCGCTGGGTGGTGAGTGGTCAAGGAGTCGTGCTGGGTGGTGAGTGGTGAGGGAGTCGTGCTGGGTGCTGAGTGGTGAGGGAGTCGCGCTGGGTGGTGAGTGGTCAAGGAGTCGTGCTGGGTGCTGAGTGGTGAGGGAGTCGTGCTGGGTGGTGAGTGGTGAGGGAGTCGTGCTGGGTGCTGAGTGGTGAGGGAGTCGCTCTGGGTGGTGAGTGGTCAAGGAGTCGTGCTGGGTGCTGAGTGGTGAGGGAGTCGTGCTGGGTGGTGAGTGGTGAGGGAGTCGTGCTGGGTGGTGAGTGGTGAGGGAGTCGCGCTGGGTGCGGGGGCCTCGCTGGAGGCTGCCCGCAGTGGTGTCGGCTCCGACCCACGACCCAGATCCCCCCTCCCGCTTACAGAGACGACAACTCGCACCGTCCCTTCACGTAAACACGAATGAGCAGCCTTGTTGTTTTACACATCCCATCAGCAGCTCGGCCTTCTGGCAGCGCGTGATATCAGCAGGATAGGTTCAATACAAGCACCACCGAGGTAAACGTGTCCGTCAGCGGAACACGTGCGCGATAGCGCCCGCGTACACCGTGGTGGCACTGCGGAGACCGCTCGCTCGACGAGGAGTGCGAGCGGCTCACGCAATCGGAAAGTCACGAGTTCGAATCCTGATGGGGATTGACGAAGCCCATCATCCTATCGGGTCGATAAAATAGGTACAGGACAACTTTTCTGGGAAGTCAGCTGTGGTTGTCCTATGGATAAACCCGCCCGCACCAAATCAATGTAAAATGGCCATCACTGAGGCCGGAGCTGTGAACGGGAAATGGGCACCGATGTCTCAGTGCTAATTTGAGCCGGAAATCACCAAACTCTCACGGGAGTAAAGTTGACCACGAAGACCCCGAATGGGTTTACCTTTGCCTCCACGAGCCCGGCGGAGTGCCGCTGCCATGGCCGTGTGGAGGAGGCAGCTGGCCCCGAGGAGCACGAGGAAGAGGAGCCTCCTCGGCAGGAGCGCTGACGCCGCCATGTGCTGCTCGCCGCTGCTCGTGGCGACTGCTGTCCACAGCCGCGTCCGGGGGGAACTCCTTCCCAGCGGGGGACCCCCCCCCCCCTGTGACGTCACCCTCCCAGCGCGCGAGACCCCGCCCCCCTGTGACGTCACCTTCCCAGCGCGCGAGACCCCGCCCACGGCGAAAGAGAGATTCAACACGTTGTCTATAAATAATTAAATATATATTTTGATGTAAAGCTTTCGTGACTGCAGGCATTCATGTTCTTGGTTCTGTCGGTAAAGTCACGTAGAAGGGAAATAAAAAAAATTACAAATATATAAAACAATCAAAAATTATCACGACGTTTCGACTGCAACACAAGCAATCGTCATCAGGTGTGAAATCCACAGCAAGAAAATTTTTTAAGCAAACACACATATATATATACCCACTTTTTCAATAACACCGTGGCATGAAAAGGAAAACATAGAAAAGGTGATAGTTTGGGGAAATGGCCCCTTCTTTATAGCACTTTGTCATAGCTCTTCTATATAGCACTTCGTTATAGCTCTTCTTCATAATACATAGACCAGAGGTCCGAGTGAGTCATAGGGACTGAACTCTTCGCAATGTTGTCTTCATTTAAAACATCGTTTGTTAAAGCATGAAAATATACACACTATTCAAGTACATTACTTTCTATATCAATATGAATACAAATATTATTTGCTGATAGCACGTTGGTGTACAAGCAAGTGTATATATGTTTTAAAACTTAACACACGTCATTTGATATGCTATATTTAACGAATGTGTTCATTCTTTTGTATATTGATAAGGTAGGAGGCAGCGCCTAACTAATGCATTTTAATTAGGCAGGCAGGTTCATTAAACTAACTTATGCATATCGATTGGGGGCGTGTTCGTATTATTGGAACATGAATATTAATCAAGCAGGCGGGTTCATATTTATTCCTGAATATTAATGAGCCAGGCGGGTTTCTATCGACCACCTCATGAATATTGATTGATGGGCGGGGCCATCTTGCCGCGTCACGTGGGCCGGGTGAGGGGTCGCAATGGGGACCCCACGCGGCCCCGGGCGCCGCTTATTGAATTCCTTACAGCGCATAGGCGCCGCCTGCTCGCGTTCCGCCACGCGATTTGTTGGCGCAGATCGCGAACCCCGCTCCCATTGGCCAATTGCGCCCGAGGCGACCGACGGGAGCCAATCAGGGCATTGCACCGCCTATACGCGCTGGGAAATTTCAAGCCGCTCGCGCGCGCCGCCATCGCTCCCCGAGGCTTCTCCTCGGCTCCTCGTTCCGCCGTCGCCTCAGCCGCCGCCGCCTCCTCCTCCGCCGCTTCTCCATCGTCGGCGTCGGCGTCTCCACCCTCCTCTTTATTCTCGTTCCTTTCCTTCGCCGCCCTCGCCTCCTGCCCGCGCGGAGCCGCCAAGGCCAGGCCTCCTGCCTCGAGCCCGGCAGCAGCAGCGGCGGCGGCAGCAGCAGCAGCAGCAGCCCCGCCAGCACCATGTCTGACCCGGTCAGTGGCAGCGCGGCGAGCAGCGGGTCCCAGCGGGGGGGTCCCTGGGGGTGCTGGGATGGAGAGAATTGTGACGGAGTAAGGGATTGTGGCAGTGTAAGCGGGTTGTGGGAGTGTCGGGAATTGTTGAGGCGGAGGGATTTTAGTCGTGTCGGGAGGGGATCGTGGGGCGGTTGGGATCGTGGGGGTGTTGGGATCGTGGGGGTGTTGGGATTTGTGAGGTTGTTGGGTTTGTGGGGGTGTTGGGATTGTGGGGGTGTTGGGGATTGTGGTGCTGTTGGGATCGTGGGGGTATTGGGATCGTGGGGTAGTTTTGGGATTGTGGGGGTGTTGGGATTTGTGAGGTTGTTGGGATTGTGGGGCTGTTGGGGATTGTGGGGGTGTTGGGATCGTGGGGGTGTTGGGATTGTGGGGGTGTTGGCATCGTGGGGGTGTTGGGATTGTGGGGGTGTTGGGATCGTGGGGGTGTTGGGATCGTGGGGGTGTTGGGATCGTGGGGGTGTTGGGATTTGTGAGGTTGTTGGGTTTGTGGGGGTGTTGGGATTGTGGGGGTGTTGGGATCGTGGGGGTGTTAGGATTTGTGAGGTTGTTGGGTTTGTGGGGGTGTTGGGATTGTGGTCTGTTGGGATCGTGGGGGTGTTAGGATTTGTGAGGTTGTTGGGATTGTGGGGGTGTTGGGATCGTGGTCTGTTGGGATCGTGGTCTGTTGGGATCGTGGGGGTGTTGAGGATTGTGGGGATGTTGGGATCGTGGGGTAGTTTTGGAATTGTGGGGGTGTTGGGATTTGTGAGGTTGTTGGGATCGTGGGGGTGTTGGGATTGTGGGGGTGTTGGGGATTGTGGTGCTGTTGGGATCGTGGGGGTATTGGAATCGTGGGGTAGTTTTGGGATTGTGGGGGTGTTGGGATTTGTGAGGTTGTTGGGATTGTGGGGCTGTTGGGGATTGTGGGGGTGTTGGGGATTGTGGGGGTGTTGGGATCGTGGGGGTGTTGGGATTGTGGCGGTGTTGGGATTTGTGAGGTTGTTGGGATTGTGGGGCTGTTGGGGATTGTGGGGGTGTTGGGGATTGTGGGGGTGTTGGGATCGTGGGGGTGTTGGGATGGTGGGGGTGTTGGGATTGTGGGGGTGTTGGGATTGTGGGGGTGTTGGGATCGTGGGGGTGTTGGGATCGTGGGGGTGTTGGGACTGTGGGGGTGTTGGGATTTGTGAGGTTGTTGGGATTGTGGGGGTGTTGGGATTGTAGGGGTGTTGGGACTGTGGGGGTGTTGGGATTTGTGAGGTTGTTGGGATCGTGGGGGTGTTGGGACTGTGGGGGTGTTGGGATTTGTGGGATGTTGGGATTGTGGGGCTGTTGGGATTGTGGGGCTGTTGGGATTGTGGGGCTGTTAGGATCGTGGGGGTGTTGGGATTTGTGAGGTTGTTGGGATTTGTGAGGTTGTTGGGATTGTGGGGGTGTTGGGATTGTGGGGTAGTTTTGGGATTGTGGGGGTGTTGGGATTTGTGAGGTTGTTGGGATTGTGGGGCTGTTGGGGATTGTGGGGGTGTTGGGGATTGTGGGGGTGTTGGGATCGTGGGGGTGTTGGGATTGTGGGGGTGTTGGGATTTGTGAGGTTGTTGGGATTGTGGGGGTATTGGGATCGTGGGGTAGTTTTGGGATTGTGGGGGTGTTGGGATTTGTGAGGTTGTTGGGATTGTGGGGCTGTTGGGGATTGTGGGGGTGTTGGGGATTGTGGGGGTGTTGGGATCGTGGGGGTGTTGGGATTGTGGGGGTGTTGGGATTTGTGAGGTTGTTGGGATTGTGGGGCTGTTGGGGATTGTGGGGGTGTTGGGGATTGTGGGGGTGTTGGGATCGTGGGGGTGTTGGGATGGTGGGGGTGTTGGGATTGTGGGGGTGTTGGGATTGTGGGGGTGTTGGGATCGTGGGGGTGTTGGGATCGTGGGGGTGTTGGGACTGTGGGGGTGTTGGGATTTGTGAGGTTGTTGGGATTGTGGGGGTGTTGGGATTGTGGGGGTGTTGGGACTGTGGGGGTGTTGGGATTTGTGAGGTTGTTGGGATCGTGGGGGTGTTGGGACTGTGGGGGTGTTGGGATTTGTGGGATGTTGGGATTGTGGGGCTGTTGGGATTGTGGGGCTGTTGGGATTGTGGGGGTGTTGGGATTGTGGTGGTGTTGGGATTTGTGAGGTTGTTGGGATTGTGGGGGTGTTGGGATTGTGGGGGTGTTGGGATCGTGGGGGTGTTGGGATCGTGGGGGTGTTGGGACTGTGGGGGTGTTGGGATTTGTGAGGTTGTTGGGATTGTGGGGGTGTTGGGATTGTGGGGGTGTTGGGACTGTGGGGGTGTTGGGATTTGTGAGGTTGTTGGGATCGTGGGGGTGTTGGGACTGTGGGGGTGTTGGGATTTGTGGGATGTTGGGATTGTGGGGCTGTTGGGATTGTGGGGCTGTTGGGATTGTGGGGCTGTTAGGATCGTGGGGGTGTTGGGATTTGTGAGGTTGTTGGGATTGTGGGGGTGTTGGGATTGTGGGGTAGTTTTGGGATTGTGGGGGTGTTGGGATTTGTGAGGTTGTTGGGATTGTGGGGCTGTTGGGGATTGTGGGGGTGTTGGGGATTGTGGGGGTGTTGGGATCGTGGGGGTGTTGGGATTGTGGGGGTGTTGGGATTTGTGAGGTTGTTGGGATTGTGGGGGTATTGGGATCGTGGGGTAGTTTTGGGATTGTGGGGGTGTTGGGATTTGTGAGGTTGTTGGGATTGTGGGGCTGTTGGGGATTGTGGGGGTGTTGGGGATTGTGGGGGTGTTGGGATCGTGGGGGTGTTGGGATTGTGGGGGTGTTGGGATTTGTGAGGTTGTTGGGATTGTGGGGCTGTTGGGGATTGTGGGGGTGTTGGGGATTGTGGGGGTGTTGGGATCGTGGGGGTGTTGGGATGGTGGGGGTGTTGGGATTGTGGGGGTGTTGGGATTGTGGGGGTGTTGGGATCGTGGGGGTGTTGGGATCGTGGGGGTGTTGGGACTGTGGGGGTGTTGGGATTTGTGAGGTTGTTGGGATCGTGGGGGTGTTGGGACTGTGGGGGTGTTGGGATTTGTGGGATGTTGGGATTGTGGGGCTGTTGGGATTGTGGGGCTGTTGGGATTGTGGGGCTGTTAGGATCGTGGGGGTGTTGGGATTTGTGAGGTTGTTGGGATTGTGGGGCTGTTGGGATCGTGGGGTAGTTTTGGGATTGTGGGGGTGTTGGGATTGTGGGGGTGTTGGGATTTGTGAGGTTGTTGGGATCGTGGGGTAGTTTTGGGATTGTGGGGGTGTTGGGATTGTGGGGGTTTGGGATTGTGGGGGTGTTGGGATTGTGGGGGTGTTGGGATCGTGGGGGTGTTGGGATTTGTGAGGTCGGGGATCGTGAGTGTTTGGTGATCTGTAGTGGATTAAAGAGTTGTCGTGAATTATGAGGGTGCTGGGATTCTGTGTGTGTTTGGGATTGTGGAGTTGAAGGACTTAAAGGCTGATTTGTAAGTCCAGGGATATAAGGTGGCATCTCGCGATGGAGGTGATATGGAGTTTATGGCTCCAGGGGGTATTAGCATTGTCGAAGATCTAGACGTGTATGAGGTTATGGATTTAGGGTTCTATGCGGTACAGGGGTCAGAATGGCCTTGGAAATCGATGATTTCGGGCTGTTTAGGGGGTTGTTGTGGTTTAGGTGGCCGACGTGTTTTGTAGATTCAGGGGTCAAGGAATCCTGGGGTGGGGGTCTTCAGGTACAGGGTTCTGGCAGTTAGAAGGTTCTAATTATTCTAGGTATTTGTGGAGTGTATCGAGTCTTAGGGGTCCCGGGTGTAGGGTTTCATTTGTAGATGCTCGGGGCTATACGGCTCTCCGGAGTCTAGTTTTGCAGGTTCCAGCAGGTGTACATTTCAGGGGGAGTCTTGGCATCCAAGGGATCCTGGGAGTCTCAAGATCTAGGGTCCTGGTGTTTAGAGGTCTAAAGGTACGCGGAGCCTTGGGTGGCTGGAGACCCAGGATCTAAGGAATCATTTTGTTCAGCGGTGTCGGGGTCACGGAGGTATTCTCAACCCCACTCGCATCTGCTCATGTGCGCAAGGGACCCGGTGTATATTGTGCTCACATACGTTTCACTTTGCCATTTGTGTGTCCCTGTGTGCGCATGTCTGCGTGTTTTTCTACGTGTATTTGTTTGTGTGTCCATGTGTGTGTGTGCGTACCGTTTAAAATGTGTGCAATTCGAATGTTTTGTGTTGTGTTTGGAAATATTTTACGCGTCCACTTGTGCGTGTATTGCATTTTCAATGTTGTGTGTGCCCATGTATGTGTGTTTGGCAATTCAAATGTTTTGGTGTATTTCTATATTCGCATTTCGAATGTTGTATATACAGTATCTGTGTGCCCATGTAACTCTATTCATGTGTGTGTATGTGTGTCCACGTGTGTCTTGTGTGTCTGTGTGTGTGTATCGTCTTTTTTTCTATTCGTTTGTGTGTTAGTTGGTCTATGTATTTGTTATTTGTATCCAGGTACTGTTTCTTTATTCGTGTGTGTGTGCCTGATGTATATCTGTATGTGTATCTGTATGTGTGTTTGTGATTTTGTGTATCCGTTAATTTGTGTGGATCTGTGGATCCGTATTTTTTGTGCGTGTCTTTGTCTTGTATCCATGTGTGCATATTCATCTGTACCTGTGTGTGTAAGCGTGTGCGTGTATGTATCGATATGTCCGTGTAACTGTATATATGTGTGTGTGTATCCTTGTATGTCTGTGTTTATCCTTGTATGTCTGTGTGTATCCTTGTATGTCTGTGTGTATCCATGTATGTCTGTGTGTATCCATGTGTGTGTCTGTCTAACCGCGTGTGTCTCTCTGTCCGTATTTGTTTCTCCAGAGAGCAAAGGGGCAGCAGCAGCAGCAGGTGTTGAACGGTGAGTGGCCACGCTGGTGTGGAATGGGTGGATGAGCTGGGACTGATCATCCATCGTCATCAATTATAATCATCCATCGTCATCAATTATAACCATCCGTCATTGTCAATTAGCAATTGCCAGCATCGTAAGGATTAGTTTGCAGCAGCAGCAGCAGTCACAGCGTCTTTATCATTCTTAATCATTCACGCAATCGGAAGGTCATGAGTTCAAGCCATGGTTGGGGGATGGGGGTTGACTCAGCCCAATTGCCCTCCCTCCAGGGTCGATAAAATGAGTGCCACGTTGTGGGGAAGTCAACAGTGGCTTTCCTATGGATAGACTCGCCCCGACCATAGCTGTAAATAGGAGATGAGCACCAATACCTCTGGTCATTGGAACAGGGAATTCACTTTCACTTTTGCACGATCATCTGAATAATGAGATGCATCATATTTTAATCTTCGTCAACCGCATAAAGAATTGCAATGTCGTGAGCGTCGTTATTAGGTGACATCTTCGTGAGTGACATCGGAAATGTCATCACCTTAATCATGATTGACTGTATTGTCTGTAGCATCGTCATCCACAGCAAGATCACATCCGTCATCGTTAGTCAAATCGGCAGCATCACCATGGGCATTATGTCTAATGTCATCAAGAGCGTCATCATCATCATCAATAGCATCATCAGAAAAGTCACGATTGATGAGCTCATTACCAGAATTTATAGCATCATCACCAGTGTCATCCTCATCATCGGCATACTTGATAGCCTTACCATGAGTAACTTAATCGGTAGCAAAATCTTCTGCGTCGTTATCATTAGGATCATATCAGCTTGAGTGTTTTCGGTAACAGCAGCATCATAATCATTCGTAATCCTCATTGCCTTGAAGATAATCATTGGGAAGTATAAACTCATCGGCATCGCTTGTCATCAGCCTCATTATAAGCATCGGCACCGTAGAGGTGAACGTGGAAAGGTGTCACCGGCCATCAAATCCTTGAATCGGCGTCATCGGTTTACATAATGCGTCGGTTTTTCATCCTGATTTTCTGGGTTGTTTTTCTGACTTCCTGGATTTTCCTGAATATGCTTGACGCGATTTCAAGCGAAAGGTCACGCAGCTAATCACCGTAAAATCTTGCCATGAGAATTGTTCTCTCACTCACCCGGTGAATGAGCTGAAGCAGTCGTAGGGTGTGTGTCGTTATACGCTTGTACGCGTAATTAATTTGTTTGGGCTGCGTCAGGTGGTGGAGAGTTCTTAACGACACACATTTGGCCGGGTCATTACGTAGCCTGAACCCAACAAAATGTTTCTACCGAACATTGGCGTGATGGTAAAATCGTGAGACCGATCCCTGCGTCGCGACATATTCGCTCGACGCCGCTCTCTCCTCTAGGTATTCAAAACGTCGCCAATCACCGGAAGGATGGGAGCAGCCACGGCGACTTTGAGACTTACCTGAGCAGTCAGACCGAGCAGGTGAGTTGGGGTGGACATTGACAGCCAGAGCCGTCCCGAGCGTATGGCAAAATGGGGCGACCATCCCGGGCCCAGCACTTTGGGGGGCGGGGGCCCCGCGCTTCAACGTCACGGAGTCAGATGTAATACTTGCAATTTAGTTTGAAGTCGTCGGGGGGCCCACACGGAGTGAGTTGCCTGGGCCACGCACCCCCCTAGGGACGGTCCTGCTGACGACGTCGATAACCTGAGCACACCGCTGCGTGGGGAAGTTGGTTGTTCTACGTGTGGACTCGCCATCGTCATTAGAATGTGGACTTGCCTCCACTGGTCCATGGCTGTAAACTGATGAGGTCCAATGCCTCAAGGCTGATGTGAGCAGGAGATCACTCTGACTTGACTGTACCAATAATTGCATCTGCGAGCCAGTAGGGTTTAAAATCAATGATTGATTTTTAGATAATTGTTCTTGTAATTGATTTTAGATTCCAAAAGTCATGGAATCAATAATCGAATCCGGTTCAGTTTTACAAACGGTCTAAACAATTCGCCCACGAACATCTTCTAAACTTGCAGCACTTTGCCAGACCACTGCTGGATGAAGGCCTCGTCACGTCTGCCTTCGGGCTTTCTTGACCATACTTCACCGCGCTGGCCGGTGTAGGCCAGTAACATTTTTGAAAAACGATTATCGATGGCGCTAAGGTTTTTTTTTGTTGCATACGGTTGTCGATAATGCTTAAATAAGTTGCCGCTCTGAGCTGCCATGGCTGCGCTCAGTCTGAATGACGACAAACCCGAGCATGCGGCCCAGCGCCAGAGGGTTAGCCGCTTGTTGCAGAGGTTCGTGGTTCGAATCCGCCGGGCCGCCCTGTTGAATACCGGCACTGTAAAACGGCGCAGTAATTGTAAAACACTACGGCGCGCCGTCTGCTTCGTTAGAGTGGACGTTAAAGATCCCTTTGTGTCGTTCAAAAGAGTAGGTCGTTGTGTGCCGGAGTCAAGGCCCAAATTCGAAAAATCACCCTGCAAATTACTCCGTTGGGATTACACACAGCAGGAATCATCGCCTGCCTCCCCCACTTACTGGCAGACTGAAGCCTGCTCAAGCCAGATGCTGAGTAAACTTGTACCGCACTTGGACAGGTGTCACTGGGGGTGCCCTTTCAAATGTGTTGAGAGCGGAAGTGACTCGTCATGTGTAAAGTGCCCTTGAGACACCCCGGTGTAAATAAATCATGTATGATTTGTAATCGCTGAACAAATCATTACATCTTCTTGTTTCTTTCGGTAAAGTCACGTAGAAGGGAAGTAATAAAATAATAAAACATAATAAATCATTACAGTTCATTGTTAGTGTGGATAAAGGTTTAACCAGGAGATGGACTGAAGCCATTGAGATGCGTGACAGCACAATGGCCTGTGGTGCGCGAGGGTGGCCCCCCCGTGGGTTACACCAAGAACGAACGGGTGCTTCGTGGCTCACGGAGTACCGCCGTGGCCTCTGCTCGCCAGTAAGCACCGTGCGCCGGGATGCAGTCGCATCTCCGCTCCCCTACCTACGTTGTAAATCCGCGTGGTGCTCGGTGGTGAAATACCACCGTGCTGCGCTGAGCAGCTGCTGCGTAACGATCCTTCGTCAGAGTCTGCACGTACAGCAGAACGATTTGCCGCTTGGTACAGCCTCTCTGTAATCCGGCTAAGCAGATGGAGCCTGGTCTGATGAAAGGCCATTTGCCTGAAACGTCACCTATTATTAAAAAAAGGCCACACTGTTTTTGAGAATTTTTTGGACTTTTTGGTTAATTAATGGATTTGCACAACACTCATGTAAACGTTGGAACGATCCGTTAACCATTGATTAAAATATTAGGTTTGTAGAAATCGTTGCAGAAATGTCTAGAGCAATAAAGACACTGCGTATGTTGGGTTTTTGAACGGAGAGAGACGAAGTTAGCTGCCTCGGTGGTAGCATGGTGGTTAGTGTCATGCTGTGACTGCTATCATCAGGTCGCTGGTTCGACCCCATCTTGTGACGACGGATGGTACCCACCAGGCCAGACAGTGGCGTCGTAATGTATGGAGTGTGCTCAATACATGGAGTGTGTGATCCCAGTTTCTCTAATCTGCCTGCCACCTCTGTCAACCAAGAGGCATAGATGGCCACACCACAGTTAAGTCAATTGGCAGGTCACCACGTGTGGTGGGGTAAAGTGTGGGTGTTCCCACATCACCTGGCCATAATGGAAGAGTCTGGCAAATACCCCTCGACTCCCTCTGGCGGGGAGGTCCTGTGACGCCATTCGCACGGGTGGCGACTTTGTGCAGGCGCTCTGGTCCAAAGTTGCCAAATCTGAAATGTGACACCACAAATTATACAACTGGGAATGTGGGAATGTACATAGCAATAATGACCCCCCGACTGTGAATTATTGGCAGCACCCCCCCGATTAGCAAGGTTGGCTACGTACGGTGCGAAAGAAGTTCAACATACGTACATACATGCGAAAGGGACCCATTAAATGAGCTTAATAACAATAATACTCAGGGCGCTACCATTCACTGCAACGTTTTTTAAAAACAATACCTCTTGAGTTGAGTTACGACCCGGAGTGGCGGCATTTTTTTGGAATTTCCTGGACGGGTTTTGAATTCTGCAGCCCTAATGGCTACGACGGTGGTTCTCTCCACCACGTACCGCGTCTCACGTCAATTGTCAAATCGGGCGACTCCTACAACGACTTACCGGTTCTGGCTGTTCCTGCTTGCGCAGTGGGCTCTTTTAAAAGGCCATTGGGTGGCTGGTAAAGCACCCCCGAGGGCATCCTCCTCACCTTCTTGGCACAACACAAGGCAAGCTATCGACGCTCTTTGTCTCCCCCCAAACCTAATCCCGGGCCTTGTATTTGTAACCTTCGACCTGCACCTTCCCCGCACCCATTAATCTTTGTTTATTTTCCTTGAGGTGTGATGGCTTTCCGGCCTCGCGTCTCCGCGATCCCGCTGCCCTCCGCCGCGTCCAGTTGCGTGTCGGCAGGGCGCGCGCGCCACCTCGGCCGGCCTCACGGCAACTTGGCCGGCTCCGCTCGTCTCCGCGCCGCCGTCACTTGCTGTCGCGTGCGGCGTTGCCGTCACAGTCATTTCGGATGGGTTGACGGTACCCGCGTCTCGTCGCCATACGCGCGCCGCTCCACGTATTCCGGTCTTCCCTGCATCCCGAGGACTTTGCTCCGAGGGCCACTGCCGGACTTGCTGCCGTGTGGCATTCTGGAATGCCCCCACCCCCCAGCCGAATCAGTGACTCGGGTGGGGGGGCCACGGTCGATGTTTTGAAGTCACGACTGGAAACTCGGGTCTGTCCCGCTTCTCGTGGAGCACTGGATCAGACTCGAACCCAGGCTTTTCATAGGTCAGCTGGCAAGGACCATTGAGCCAAGCACCTCTGCTACAAGGACAAACACTTGGGTCAATAATAATGGCGGCCTTACATAAAAAAACATATATAATAGGTGACGTTATGGGAAATGGCCCTTATTCATGAAGGACCATTTCCGAACCGTTGCCTATTGTATATATTTATTTAAGGCCTGCTGTGCGGAGGCCGCTGTCGGCATGCTCTGCCGGTTACCCGTCTCTGCCTGAGCCGCGCGACCTAAAACAAGGAGTTGAGCACAGGAGGCCCAAAGGCCCAAAACGTCCCGCGGCCAGCAACACAAAAGCACTGTCAAAGTAGTAACGGTAAGCGTTTCCACCTTTCTTGAATCGAGCATGGTTATTGTAAGAGTTTGGGGAAAGAGAAGATGGAAATCACTTTGAAGGCCCTGCTAGAAACAGTTTTACACAAACGTTGAATTCGCGTTCGTTATAGAGGCACCCTGTGGTCGAATGGACATGGGGGATGGACACAAACAGCGCTGATAATGCACAATCGCTTTGATCCTCGCTTTGAAATCGTGAGTAGAAATCTGGAGGTGCGTGCCGGACACAGCGTTCAGCGGGTGGATCGCGTTTCCCACAGCCCCAGCGTTTGTTACGACGGTCGCCGCCAATGGAGAATGGGGTCTGTAATCGGGGCGGGTGAGCTGGTGAGCCGGTAAGCGTGTTAACTGGAAAGCATGCGAACTGGTGTGGGAGCTGGTAAGCAGGTTAGCTGTGAAGCTGGTGAGCTGGAGAATGTGCGCGGTGGTAAGCAGGTGAGCTTTTGAGTGGGTTAGCTGGTGAGCTAGAGAGTGTGTGAGATGGTCAACGGGTGAGATGGTGAGTGGGTAGGCGAGTGAGTGTGAGCTGGTGAACAGGTTATCTAATCTAAGTGTATATTTATAAATCACTTTCACTCAAGGCGCTTGACATTCTTAGGTTTTTTCGGTAAAGTCACGTAGGTAAAAAATTAAAATTAATAAAAGTAAGTTAAAAATAAAAAGTCACGACGTATCGGAGGCAACACAAGCTTCCGTCTTCAGGTGGAACCGTCACAGCCACGACAAGAGATGCCGAGATAAACAAGGTAATACCCATCGCTTTCAACGGAGTGGTAGCTCTTGTAATCTCTCATTTACTTGATACAGCTGTCGTGGCTGTGACGGTTCCACCTGAAGACGGAAGCTTGTGTTGCCTCCGAAACGTCGTGTTTTTTTATTTTATTTTACTTTTATTAATTAAATTTTTTTACCTACGTGACTTTACCGAAAAAACCTAAGAATATGAATCCTTGCAGTCACGAAAGCTTCAAATATAGCGCTTGACATAGTACAACAGAATGGTGACAGAACAGAATTATTTAGATGGCAGGGGCATGAAAGGATTCAGGAATGAGTGACTGTGGTAGAGTGTATTTAGGGATCACGAAAGCGGACGGGAGGGACGGGAAGTAGGGGAGGGAAGAGGAAGAGAACGGGCAATATAGGTGAGGCTGTAAGAGGAGCGGCAGGAGGTTAAGGGGGACTGATTAGTGTAGAGGGGAAGTTGATTCCAGTGGGGGATACAAGGAGGGAGGAGGACCAGAAACGGGATTGAACACAGGGAGGAGGAGTGACACCCTTTTTCTTTCCTGAAGAAGACCGCTTGTGTTGCGATCGAAACGTCGTGGGTTTTTTGCTTTTAATTTAGATTTGTTTTCTATCTACGTGATTTTACCGAAAGAACCAAGAATATAGAGACAGAGAAGATGGGACATGGAAGGATTTGAGAGAGACAAGGCCATGGTGAGCTGGAGAGTGTTTGAGCTGGTGAGCGGGTGAACAGGTTAGCTGGTGAGCGTGTGAGTAAGCGGGTTAGCTGGTGAGTGCAAGCTGGTGGGTTTAAAGAGTGTGTGAGCTGGTGAGCGTGTGAGTGAGCGGGTTAGCTGGTGAGTGCAAGCTGGTGGGTTTAAAGAGTGTGTGAGCTGGTGAGCGGGTGAACAGGTTAGCTGGTGAGCGTGTGAGTGAGCGGGTTAGCTGGTGAGTGCAAGCTGGTGGGTTTAAAGAGTGTGTGAGATGGTGAGCAAGTTAGCTGGTGCGCAGCAGGTGATTGCCCCACGCCGGGTTACGCGTGTGCAGTGGCTCTTATCTATCAGTGAAATCCGAAACCCGCTCAGATTTTGATCCTCGCTGTCCGTGTCTGTTTGCGAGTTCGCGTAGCCAGATGGTAACAGGAGGACACTAACAGCGGTGGCAGTGTAAGCGCGGACACGCGCGCTGCACTCGTGCTGCGGTCTGCGACAACAGCAGCCACCACGTGCCAGGCTGGGTGCACTTTGAGGCCGCAACATGTAGCGTGGAAGGCTCTCCCTGCTGGCAGGGGGTCACGGGACAGACCCAGGTGTTGGGGGTTGATTGACCAATTTTGAGCCTGTGAGTGGGAGAGTGTGAGCTAGTGAAGCTCCTATGGAGCTCTTGGGAGTGTGGTGACACAGATGGATTTAAGAATCCTGGGCTGTGCAGCCACCTCCTGGCCACACCTTGCAGCCCATTTCTACAAACACCACCAGGCAGCCTCTCAGCCAAGTGATAATAATAATAATCATCTTTATTTATAGAACGCCTTTCATACCGAAAGGTTGAAGGGACTTCACGCATGCTAAGAAAAAAGAAAAACATTTTACAAAGACAAATGTTGTGAAAACACTCAGGAAATTATAAAAATACATCAAGGGAAAGAAACATGATAAAACAGTCAAGTTATTATGAAATGCCAGAAAAAATCAGGTTAAATTGTAGAAATAAAACCCACGATGCAGAGCAGTGGCTACTACACCCGATTTAAGGGCTTCTTGGCTCACAGGGTACTTCAAAATAAACTGAAACTGAACTGACGACCGTGCACTCTGGGCCTGACGAGGAGACAACGGCTCGCTCTTCGCCAGGCTCAGCCTCGCCTCGGCCTGCAAGATCAGGCTTGTTCACGATGGTTTCGTTGGTCAAAATGTAATGAGGTGCTGTATCGAATGGGGAGGGTCCTTGCTTGTAAACATCTGGAAATTCACCGCCATTGATGAAAGTTAGCCTGACTGCTGATGAGACACTAAATGTCGAAACCAGTCCAGAGTTTGCCACCTTGCTTCAGAATTTCCTCCGGATTGTCTCTTGTCCCAAGCTCTTACAATGATAAGCTTGTTCAATTCCATTAACGTGTTACATGCTGATCTATTACAGCTCTGATAGTGCTGTTTGTTACTGGCCTTGTGACGTTTGGGGCTTGTGCTCATCAATTATTTATTTAAAAAATACACAGAATTGTATAGAGACCCACAGACCCGCACAGGGACCCGTGCCGTGTGACCGTGTAATTCGGTCCCCGCGTGGCGCCGCGTGCCACCCCCACAGAGCAGCAGCTACGCAGCCGTGTCGGAGGCCTACGTGCCGGCCTACTATGGCCCCTCGGTGGCCTTCTCCTCCTACTCGCTGAGCTCCGAGCCGGCCTGGTCCACAGCGGGCGCCGACCCGGCCGTGCCGTACATCGCCCACCACTACGGGCCGCCGGGGGCCCTCGCCAACGGGGATGCGCCGCTCTCCCACCACCACCACCACGTGTCGGCGCACGGGCACCCGCACCCGCACGCCCACTTCATGGCCGACCCCGGCTACCTGGGCGGCGCGGCGACCGCCACCACTCCGGCGGCCGCGTACATGAGCCAGCGGCAGCAGCACGCCTTCGGCTTCTTCCCCGGCGGGCCCGAATTCGCGGCCTGGCTGAGGCCGTCGGGCGGCGGCGGGGGGGCGGCGGGCGGCGTCGGTGGCCAGGGCGGCCTGCGCGGCTCGCCCGTGTCGTCGCCCATCTCGGTGGCGTACGGCAGCGGTTATGCCTTCCCGCCCAGCTCGCTCGGCGGGGCGGCCGTCGTGGACCCGCAGACCGGCTCGTTCGCCGGCGGCGTGAGCCGGGCGCCGGGCCACGTCGGCGCCACCGCCTCCGCCGTGTCCGGCGGAGGCGGTGGCGGCGGCGGGGGGAGCCCCGGCGGCGTGGCGAGCGGTGTGGTGGTGCTGCAGCAGGGCGTGGGCGGTCTCCGCATCGGCGGAGACTCCCGCGAGCCGCCCGCCGGCGGGAAACCTGGCGCGCCGCCGCCGGTGGCGGCCGGACCGGATCCGGTGGCGCAGGCCGCGGCGGCGACGAGTGCGGCGGCGGCGCCGCAGGCCAAGCCGGCGCCGGCGTCCTGGGCGTCCATCGCCAGCAAGCCGGCCAGGCAGCAGCTGGCGCCGAGGTCGGTGAAGGGCGGCGGTGGGGGCGGCGCGGGGAAGATGGCCAGCGGGACGTCGGTGCCGCCCCCCCCCATCAAGCACAACATGGACATCGGCACGTGGGACGGCAAGGGCCCGGTCAGCAAGGCCACGCCGCCGCCGCAGTTCGCTCAGCCCGCCGACGGAGCTCTGGCACTGGGGAAGCCGCAGGTCGACGCCGGGCAAGAGCAGGCCCAGGCCTCGGCCTCCATGTCGGTGGACGCCATGCAGGTGTCCGCGCAGATGTCTCACTCCATGTCGCCGCCGCCGCTGCCGCAACAGCAGCAGCCGGTACAGACCTTGCAGCAGCAGCAACAGCAGCAGCAACATCAGCTGCAGTCGTACATGATGCAGCAGCAGCAACACCAGAACTTTCAGCAGCAAAGCCATTACCATCACCAGCAGCAGCAGCAGCATGAACACCAGACTCTGCAGAATGGTTACTACGCGATGATGCAGCGCCAGCCAAATATCAACCCGGCTATGCAGCCTCCGCAGGTGCAAGCACCGTTTCAAGAGCATCAGCAGCAACAGCAGCAGCAACAGCAGCAGCAACAGCAGCAGCAGCAACAGCAGCAGCAACAGCAGCAGCAGCAGCAACAACATCATCAGCATCAACAGCAGCAGTCTGATCGCTGGGTGGCTTCACGCAGCTGTGGGCCAGCAATGCTGACTCAAAACGGGAGCCAGCCTGCTCCTATCTCCTCCTTGCCCCAGACACGGCACCAGCTCAACCAGCAGCAGCAGCAGCAGGCTCCTCCTCGACAGAGCTTGCAGCAGCAGCAGCAGGTAACGACACCGTCGTTTGCCGGCGACGGGAGCGGCGGCGGCGCGCCTGGCATCGGGGAACCGGCGCCGGCTCCGCTACAGGCGCCGCCGCCGCTGCTGGAGAAGCTGCAGTCGCACAACGGCTACAACCCGAGCGACTTCGACTGCAGCCCGCGTGACCTGCGGGCCTTTATCATCAAGAGCTACTCGGAGGACGACGTCCACCGCTCGGTCAAGTACTCCATCTGGTGCAGCACCGAGCACGGCAACCGGCGGCTGGACGGCGCCTACCGCGCCATGCAGGGCAAGGGCCCCGTCTACCTCCTCTTCAGCGTCAACGGCAGCGGCCACTTCTGCGGCGTGGCGCAGATGACCTCGCCCGTGGACTACCAGACGTGCGCCGGCGTGTGGTCGCAGGACAAGTGGAAGGGCAAGTTCGAGGTAAGCCTTTGAAACGCACGCGTGGAGTCTACGCCAAATGGCGACAGAGAGCTGGGGAGGAACTCAATAGGTGCGTGGGTAAGATTGAGCCACGACATAAGCAATGTATGTCACGAAGACACTTGGCAAGTGTTGTTAGTTGTTAGCGAGTGGAACCTATGCAATGCACCGAGGGGAGGCCCAAGACCTATTCAAATAATTGTCACCGGTGATGACCCTGAGCGGGAATTGAATTTGTTGCTGGGTTCGTAGCACAGCGCGTAAACATCTCAACTACCGCTCCTCATACATAAATACACAAACACACGTGCGTCTATTAATTATCCGTTTCCCTGTCCAACCATGCACCCTCTTTCTGCTTCCCACTCTCCCTCTTTACCCACTCTCCCTCCCTCCTATCTCTCCCTATCCCTACCCCGTTTCCCACGCTCGCCCCCATGCACGCGCCCCCCACCCCAGGTGCAGTGGATCTTTGTGAAAGACGTGCCCAACTCGCAGCTGCGCCACATCCGCCTGGAAAACAACGAGAACAAGCCGGTGACCAACTCTCGCGACACGCAGGAGGTGCCGCTCGACAAGGCGCGCCAGGCGCTGCGCGTCATCGCCGCCTTCCGCCACACCACCTCCATCTTCGACGACTTCGCGCACTACGAGCGCCGGCAGGAGGAGGAGGAGAGCCTGAGGAGAGACAAGGCGAGGGCGGCCGCCAACGCCAACAACGCCGCCGCCAACGCCGCCGCCAACGTTGCCAACGCCGCCGCCGGCGCCACCGGCGCCGCCGGCAACAACGCCAACGCCGCCGGCGCCGCGTCGGGGCCCGCCCGGCGCCGCCCCCCGCGGACGGCGCGCCCCCGCACGGACGGCCGCTAGAGCGACGGCACTCGCCGGTCCAGGCGGCACGCGCGGTCAGTACCTGGCGCGCGGCGAGCGGCGGCCACTCCGGAGTCGCCGGCGCTCGCCTGTAGTTGTTCACAGCCTTTGCGGAGCCAGATGCCGAAATTGCACATTGCTATGGTAGGGATGAGTTTTATCCACGGGTCGACCGCTTGTTGATCTTCCCCCGGACAAAGTGGTACTCGTTTTGATCCACCCCCGAGCGAGGTGCGATGATGATAACGGTGTCAACTCGTAACGCTCCGCCGCCACGGAGAGAGGGGGAGCGGGGTGACTTGGAGACGCCAGGAGGAGGAACCGCAGACAAACAGAAGTTCGCGTTTTGAATTCGGCAGGCCGCCCTGGTGATTACCGCGGTGTGTATTCGGTAAAGTACGTGCCGTCTGCTTCACGGTGGATGATAAAAGGCCCCCTGGTGTCATTCGAAATGAGAAGGCCACCGTTTTCCATATTTGTCAAATTAGAAACATGACGGCTTAAATCACTCACTGGGGGTTACACACAGCAGCAACAGCAGCGGCGGATTTCGCCCCCTACCGGCAGACCGATGCCCTTGGGTCGCGTGCCGAGTGCCGCCACCCAGACACAGCTACCCCTGGGGCTGCCCTCTCAAACACATTCCCCACACTTGCGCTCGCACACACACTCTGCAAGCCGGCAGGAGGACGCGCGTGCTCTCATGTCACGCTTCTTTTGCACCGTACATAGCCAGCCATGCTTGATGCGCGCAGAGAGGGCGCCCGTGTCGGGAATCGAACCGGGGCCCTTCTTGCCGTGAGACACGAACGTGCGGAGTATTGACGCCATCTTTCTCTCGTCCGCCGCCGTCGTTGTTTGCAGAGGCGGCGCAAGCGCAGCGAGCGATGGCGAGGGTGGCCGGACCTGCGGGCGGGGGGTTGGTTGCTGGAGGTCGCTCTGCCGTCGGGACGCGCGAGCGAGAGGAGTCCCCGGCAGGGTCGCCACCGCTCTCTCTGCTCGTCCTGATAGAGACGCTACCCACGGTGGCCACCGGCCGCGGATTGTTTTGTGTTCGCTTCGAGTTCTTTGCGTCCCTGCCCCATCTTCTCCCCCTGTCCCCTTCGTGTGTGTGCGTGCGCGCACTTTCTGTGTGTGCGTGCACGTGCGCGCGTGTGTGTGTGCATGTGTGTGCGCGCATGTGTGTGTGCGTGTGCGTGTGCGCCTGCGCGCGTGTGTGTGCGCGTGCGTGTGTGTGCACGTGCGTGTGTGTGCGCGTGCGTGTGTGTGCGCGTGCGTGCTTGTGTGCGTGTGTGCCGCGGCAGCAAGGGGTGAGCCGGTGGCGTCTGTCGCGAAGGAGGAGGAGGAGGGGGCGGAGGGTGACACTCGTAGTGCTGTTTGGAGTGTGGACCGAGTCACTCGTAAGCGTAACTTATATCCCCCCAGCCGACGGTGAAGTCGCATCTTTGTTTTTTCGCCGTTTTACTTTTATTTTGTACTTTGGAAGTTTCTGTTTTTCTTTTGATTGTCTCTCAAGTACTCCTCACGTTTTCACTGTAACCGACTGTACCTGTAACGTCATATTTACGCATCTTTGTATTTTATTTCGCTTGGGGACGCGGGGCAGGGAGGAGGGGCGAGAGAGAAGCGCGGCAGCTTTCCAGAGAGGGGGGGGTGGTGTGGGGAGCCATCGTAAGTGTGCGCGCAATGGACCGGTGATGAGGAGGACGAGGAGGCGGACGACGAGGCGGAGGAGGGCGGCGGCGGTGGCCACATCTCCGGTTGCCCGCGTCGCGTCGCCCGTGTTTGAGGAGGTTTTCACGTGTGATTGTAAGCAATGTTTAAACGAAAAAAGCAAAAGCAATTGTCTGCCGTTACAAATTATAGTCGTAATAGTAATGATGATGATCAGAAGACGGGAAGCCTAACGGGGGCTGCGTTGTCGCAGTCCTGGACTGTTGGTCTGTCGGGGAAAAAAGGTGACTTGACAGACCCTCTGCTAACGGTGGCTCCGGTTGGACGGAGCGTGGAGAGAGCGCCGCCCCGAGAGAGACGAGGGAAGCGACGAGGAGAGAGGGGGGGGGGGGACGCGTTTCGTCTCTGCCGCCCCCTGGGGACCGCTCGACCGCCTGAGCCGCGCATTCCGACGCTCCCCGTGAGCGGTAATTATCCAGCCGGCGGGCCAGATGGGTCGACGCCAGGCCACGGCCAGAGCAGCTCACCCTCGCCGCCAAACATCGTCCACCATGAGCCTTCCTGCCCACCCCCCCCCCCAAAAAAAATTAAACCCACGAGCCCCTCCCCTGAGATGAAGACAAGCGTTGAGCAATGTTACAATTTCCCAACAATGAAGACTTCCAGTGTTTAATTAGACCTCCCCCTCTACCAACACGTTTGAGGTATTCGCAGTACTGTACTGGATATTGCCTGTAATAAATGTACTGTACTTAGACCAAAAGTCTTGCCGCTGCGGTGTCTTTGTTGAGTTCTACTCCCGGTTAATGGCAAGGCATTCTTCTCTCTTACATCGTACACAGCAATAACAATTACCTATATTGCCGGGAAACCACCGGGTCCTGTGGCCCCTTTGTCAAGAGGTTCCTGCATTGTCTGTGTTTTTATATTAAGACGTTTACGGCCAATTAATGGGTGTTATGAGTGTTCACCCAATGCCATACCCTCAAAGTCAAAAGTGAGTTCATGTGAGAATCGAGTCATTGGTCCTCATCAGCAGTTTGCAGCCATGTAGAAACCAGTGGTGGAAATTCCACATTCCTATTCCGTGGGGGGGGGGGGGGGGTTCAGATTCCGTCGGAGAATCGCTTATGATCTTCCTCACAAAGTGGTATCGATTTTAGCGACTCCCAGTGGGAGGGATGATGGGCTGCTCCAACCCAAATCCTCAACCGGGACTTGAACTCGCGACCTTCCGACTGAGCTGCGAGCTCTAACGCGGAGCCACCACGGATGCCTTGTTTAAGCCAGCCGCTGTTGCGAGATGCACGCGTGGAAATGTGATCTCGTTTACATTTATAGAGCGCCTGCACCCAAGGCGCGTGACGTGGCTTGCAAAACGCTGACAATGGAATGATGTAGTTGGCAGGGGTGTGCTTCACGGGTTGGGGAATGAGTGACAGCGGCGATAGAGAGGTGCTGAGGGGTCGCGAAAGTGTCGGGGAGGGACGGGAAGGAGTGGATGGGCCAGGGGGAGGGAAGTGGAAGACAGTGGGCGATGGAGAAAAGTTGAAGCTTTTAGAGAGGAACTGAAGGTGGTTAAGGAGGGGAACTGCTTAATATACACGGGAAGTGTTGAGTCTCTGGGCAGTGTTGAGTCTATGAGCAGTGCTGAGTCTATGGGCAGTGTTGAGTCTATGGGCAGTGTTAGTCTATGGGCAGTGTTAGTCTATGGGCAATGTTGAGTCTATGGGCAGTGTTGAGACTATGGGAAGTGTTAGTCTATGGGCAGTGTTGAGTCTATGGGCAGTATTGAGTCGTCTATGGGCAGTGTTTGTCTATGGGCAGTGTTGCTCAATGTCCAAGGGAAGTTGATTCCAGTGGAGAGGTGCAAGGAGGGAGAAGGATCGGGATTGGGCACGGGGAGAAATATCGACCCCAGGCCGAGAGGTCCTCCGCTCCATGGTCACGATTCAAGATGGGGGTCGCGATTGCCCTTCCACTCGAGGGTTCGTTTTGTCCTCAATGAACGTAGCGCCCTCTGTAGGCAGCCAGGTAAACAAGCGGACACCAACGCCACCACATCTCTACCTCCATAAATACACGTTTTACACGTCCCACCAGCCCCGACACGGCCGCCTCCTGTGAGTGCATCATGTCAGCAGCATTGGGTCAACGCAAGAAACAGCTAGGACGGTTTCGACGTTCCGTGTCCCATCAGTAGAGTCGGGCTTGTCTGCAACCAGTGACCTGGTCAGTTTGACGAAAAGCCATTTAATACATGACACAACTTAAACATGACATCGTTGTGGAGAATATAAATAAAACAGTAAACCAGCATTGGTTCAAGCCTGACTGCTGATGGGACACTGAATGTCAAAACCGGTTCAGAGTTTTGTTGAGATTGAATCAATGACCTTGACATTCATTCTTCTAAGAAGGAAGGTCGTGAGGTTGATGGCTTCTGCAGAATGACAAAACATCAAATCTGATTACAGACAGTAGCAGTGCCCACCCTCTGCCGCCCACCTTGCAGGCCAGGTGCCGCACAGGGACAGCTGCCCCTGGGGGCACCCTCGGATCGACCACGAAGCGATCGTCGCCCCCCTCCCCTGCTGGCACACTGACCCGCCCATACTCGACATGACCCGCCTCGGCTGGACATCTGTGAAAAGAGCTTCATAGCTTATCGGATTCCTCCAGTCTAAAGATTTGTTATCATAATGCCAATGTTGTCGATCAGGGTGCCGAGTATCCTTGTTTCGCGTAGGGACAGCTGCAACTGGGTGTGCCCTTTTCAATGAAAGTTATGACGTCAGTCGCTTGTCGTGTCAGGAAAACAACATCACTCTGACGGTCACCGGGACGCGTGGGGAGGAGGAGGGATTGAATGATCGGCTGAGCGCGTCTCGCTTGGCATCCGCACCGCACAAATAAAAAGACCGCCCCCCCCCCCCCCCCGTAGCGAGCACCTATGAAGGCTGGAACGGTTCACGAGGGGTAGTGGGTGGTGGCCAGCCCCACCCCCGACCACCTTTATCTCCCCAGTAGCGATGTTTACACACCTCACTTGGTGTTGTTGGCCGTGGGCCCTGGAATGGAACTCGGGCCCGCGTTGCGTTCCGAGCGCAGCGCCACCGCTCCCCGCGCGCGCACACCCCCACGAAGAACCAATACGAAGTGGGGGCCACGGTGGGGGGGGGGGCAGGGGTCGCCACGCGCTCCGTGTCTCGCGTTGAGGAATTCTGAGAAGCACTCAGCAGAGCAACACCCCCCACCACCACCACAGCGTAGCCTACCCACCACACACTGCTGAGGCCGCCGTGTAGCCGACCCACCACACACTGCTGAGGCCGAGCGTTGTTAGCGAGCACCTATTGAGGAGGCAGTCAAGACGCACCTCCTGGGTTGGTGTGGCCCGGACCAAGCCCCGGGCGCGTTTGTGTCCCCCGTGCTGATGCTGGACACGCCGACGCCCGATGTGAAGTCGACCGACTGGGAGCCCCGGCAGGACCCCCCCCCCGGCAGGACCCCCCCCCCCCCCGCGGCCGTGCCTGGGAACCGCTCGCCAGGGTTCGTAGCCACCTCCACACTCACACAAAGACAAAGATCCCCCGTGTAGACTTAAAACACTGTAGGGGCAAGTGCTGTTAGCGAGCCCCTATGAAGGCCGGAACGGTACACGAGGGGGTGGGTGGCCAGCACCACGCCCGGCCGCCTTTGTCTCCCCAGTGACGATATTTACACACCGCACCAGGTACTCATTTAAGGCTGAGTCGACCTAGGGGATGCACACACACGCTGCTGTGAAGACGGGATATTGCCTGAAACGTCGTGATATGTTCCGTTGTAAGGCAGTGTTGGTGACCAATGTCGTGAGTGGGTTTGACTGTGTACCTGTGCAGCCCTTTTGCCAATCCACTGCTGGATGAGTGTCTCCCCACGCCTGAGCGAGTGAGTCCCTGAGGGGCTATTGTATCATACCTCAATCACGCTGGGAGCATAGACGTGGAAGCATACAAGTGCAGTTCAACCACGTGTTTTTCCATCTCACTACCCTCCGCCGTCACACGATGCAGCCCCGCAGAAGTATATAGCACCTTGTTATGCATGGTGATCGCCCATCTATAAGCGGCGTCCAGCCTCAAATCCTGCCGAGCCCTCAGGAGATTCCTGAGCGTCGAGGCTGACTCTTCCTCGCAGTGTGAGCAAGTGGGTGCCTGGTGCCGGGTGTAAATATCGCCACTGGGGAGACAAAGGCGGTCGGGCGTGGTGCTGGCCAACCACCCCCTCGTGTGCCGTTCTGTCATTCATAGGTGCTCGCTAACAGCACTTGCCCCAACAGTCTGTTAAGGCTACACGGGGGGATCTTTGTCTTTGTGTGTGTTTGTGTGCGTGTGTGTGAGTGTGTGTGTTAATGTGCGTGTGTGTTAGTGTGTGTTAGTGTGTGTGTGTGTGTTAGTGTGTGTGTGCGTGTGTGTGCGTGTGTGCGTTAGTGTGTGTGTTAGTGTGCGTGTGTGCTAGTGTGTGTGTGTGTGCGTCCGTGTGTGACCATGTGGGGAGCGATCTGTCAGCTCACGTCCAAACATCGGTGGCGAATATCTGAACGCAGTCCAGGTCGGCCTTCCCGACCTCGACTGGGTGCCACGGCCCATCGCACACGTGTGTACGTTATTTAAAGATCAACAACAACGAGGGAGACAAAGGCGGCCGGACGTGGTGTTTGCCACCCACTCCGCCCTCGTGTGCCAGTGTCGACCTTTGTAGGCGCTACTCGCTAAAAGCACTTGCCCCAACAGCCTGCGGAGGCTACACGGCCTGTATTTGTCTTTGTGACAATCTTATTTGCGAAACTTTATTTGACACCGGACACAAGTTTGGGGAAGGGGTGGGTGGTGGGGTTCGCGTCTCCCTTCCCAGGGAGTCTTCGAGTCGGCAGACTGCGGCGTGACTCCTCTTGCGGCCGCATTCCTCTCTCGCCTGCGAAACCGGAGTGACCTGTTTTGAGGACCCCTCCACCACCCCACACTCCGCCCGTTCCTTCACCTGGGCACGTGGCGCTGTGCCCTGGGCGCTGGGTCGCACTGACAGGACACAGTGTACACAAAGTCAAAGATGACCCGTGTAGCCTCAACACACTGTTGGGGCAAGTGCTGTTACCGAGTAGCACCTGTATGAAGGCCGGCATGGGGATAGAGGGGGTGGCCAAGATTACGTCCATTTGAGGCTGAGTCGACCTAGGAGAGGCCCAGGACCGGTTCAGATAATCGTCACTGGTGTTGGCCCACTGCACACACACACAGCGGGTGTGTGTGAGAGTAATAATACCACCCCGTGTGCTCGCGCGTGTGAGAGAGAGAGCAGTCAAGCGGCTTTCTCCAACAGGTCCCCGTGCGTGGCACGAGGCGTGTATGAAATATTCACTGTCCCCAACAGTTTGTGAGAGCTATGCGGGGTATCTTTGTCCCTGGGTATGTGTGTGCCGTGTCGCCCTTCATTAATGCAACACTTTCTCCCAAACGGCCTGTTGTGCGTGTGAGTTGGGAGCCGTCGTGCAGCAGGTAGCGCGCTATGCTAAGAACCCGCCCACCCCAGTTCGATTCCCGCTCACGGCCTCAAATGAGGAGCTGGTGCGATGTGTAAACATCGCCACTGGAGAGACAAAGGCGGCCGGGCGTGGTGCTGGCCACCCACCCTCTCGTGTGCCGTCATAGGTGCTCGCTAACAGCACTTTCCCCATCCATCTGTCAAAGGATATCAGGGGATCTTTGTCTGTGTGTCCGTAGTTTGATTGACAGGTTCCTCCCCGTCCTCTACGCACCCAGCACGGAGAAGCAGAACCATGTTTTCAATGCTGAGCCTACCTAGGGGAGAGACGGACCCAGTCGATACCCAGGAGCAGCAACAACAACAGCAGCAACAACAACAACAGCTCGCGTCTTCCCCGGGTCGACAGCTCCTGTTACGTGGGGTGAGTGATGAGCGATTGTGTGTGCGTGTGTGGGGTGTTGTGTGAACGTGTGCGTGTGTGGGGTGTTGTGTGAACGTGTGCGTGTGTAGGGTGTTGTGTGAACGTGTGCGGGGTGTTGTGTGAACGTGTGCGTGTGTGGGGTGTTGTGTGCACGTGTGCGTGTGTGGGGTGTTGTGTGAACGTGTGCGTGTGTAGGGTGTTGTGTGAACGTGTGCGGGGTGTTGTGTGAACGTGTGCGTGTGTGGGGTGTTGTGTGCACGTGTGCGTGTGTGGGGTGTTGTGTGAACGTGTGCGTGTGTGGGGTGTTGCGTGACAGGGCTGCCACCAGTCCAGGCTTGACCCGGACAATCTGTGTCAGAGGTGGCAACCCTAACAGACCCTCTCGGCTACCCACTTCACGTCGCTCATTCGTTGTGCCAAGTCACTCAGTAACTCACTCACTCATCCACCCACCCACTCACTTAAATAGCCACAACACCGCCGCTACTTTCACAACTTGGCAGGAAAACAAAATCAGAATTGGCCTCCCTCGGCATACACAAATAACAACAGTATGTTGTGCACATCTCATGAGTCTCACGGCCTCCTCGGAGTGCATATTATCAGCAGCATTGCGTCCACAGACGAAACACTCGAGACCGGTTTTGACACCAATGTCTCAGGGCCGCGTCCCTGAATTCTACCGGGTGTAGCGATGGGGCTGTGGGTCGGTGCGCTTACTATTGCGCCACCACTCCCCTCTTCCTCCCCGCCATACCTAAATAAATAAATGCACACGTTAAATTAGGCAACCTTAAGGCTCAGCGTCCCCGGATGTACAGAGGAGAGGGCGGATTTGGAACTCACCGCACGCAGACAGACGAGCAGAGAGAGAGAGAGAGACGCGCAGAGACGCGCAGAGAGAAACCCGCGTCGACACGGCCACGTGGGTAGACAGAGGCGGAGACGGAGAGACACGCGGAGACACAGAAGCGCGGGGCATGCGGAGGGCTCGCTGCATACGGTGCGTGGCACAGTTGTGAAAGTGTGTCCGTGTGTGAGTGTGTCTGTGTGTCTGTGTGTGAGTGTCCGTGTGTGAGTGTGTCTGTGTGTCCGTGTGTGAGTAAGTTAGTTCTGGGGAGCGGTAGTGTAGCGGTCAGTGTCCTGCGCTACGAACCCGTCGACCCCAGTTCGATTCCCGCTCAATGCCAACAATGTGAGCGATTCCAGATTATCTGAATCGGGCCTGGGCCTCCCCTAGGTCGACTCAGCCTTAAACGAGTACCTGGTACGGTGTGTAAATATCGCCACTAGGGAGACAAATACGGTCGGGCGTGGTGCTGGCCGTTCCGGCCTTCATAGGTGCTCGCTAACAGCACTTGCCCAACAGTCTGTTAAGGCTACAGGGGCATATTTTTGTGTCTGTAAGCTGCTACTGTGTAAACATCAGCACTGGGGAGACAAAAGCGGCCGGGCGTGATGTTGGCAATACCTCGTGGGCCGTTCCGGCCTTAATAGGTTCTCGCTAACAGCACTTGCCCCAACAGCCTGCTAAAGGCTATACGGAGATCTGTGTCTTTGTGTGTTCTTTGAGCTCACCTCAGCATGCTGTCAAATAACAGCCGGTCACGTTCGGCAAAAGCATTGCCCTGAAAGGGGGGAAACTATCGGTGACGTTACGGAAAATGGCCCTTCGTGATGCTGCGTTGGCAATGCACCATCACTAATGCAGTTTGAGAGCAATGTACAGTCTAGTTAATATGTGCTCGCTAACTGCACTCGCTCCAGACGGGAGGGTAACAGTGTATGCTGTGTGCGTGTACACTCCACTGCTGGATGAGGCAGCCCCACGCCCCGCCAACAACAATCAACAACTCAGCATATTCAGGGCTATTGCCCGAAACGTCGCCTATACATTTTAAGACCATGTCCTCACTCTGGGCTGTTGGCCCGCGGTTCTTAGCCGGGGGTGTGCGGGGACCCCTGGGGGGAACGCGTGGCGATGTCCCCAGGGGTGAAGAATCATGTTGCGTGAATGTGTCAATATGGAATAACAACGATGAAATGTAAATCCGTATGGTCACCTATAACGATACATAAAATACCTTCCTCAACTCATTGATCGTTGTCAATGCGGGTTTCCGAGAGGAACCAGCGTTTGTTTTTGTGTTTTAGTGTTTTTTGTGTTTTAGTGTTTTTGTGTTTGTGTGTTTTAGTGTTTAGTGTTTTTGTGTTTTTGTATTTTAGTGTTTTTGTGTTTTAGTGTTTTTGTGTATTTGTTTTTGTGTTTTTGTATTCGATTGCAGTTACCAGCGAGTTCAGGATACCTCACAAAAAGGGCATTCAGTTTCAATATCGAGTTGAATGCTGCGTGTTCCATGTTGTGTCAGTCAACGGGGCGAGGGGTGGGGTGACTGGGTTGAAACAGATTTCAAGAAGGAGGCGGTGTGGGTGGGTGGGTGGCGGGTGGCAGTGGTAGCCAGGAAAGGTTAGAGACCCGCTGGGGTTGGGCTGAAGCAAGCCGACTTTGCCCCCCCCCCGTCCCTCCGTGCGTGTCTCGTCGAGGTAACGATCGGCGCGCGTAATCTTTACGCAGTTACTGCGCCCGGGAGGATGAAGACAAACATCCCGAGAGCACGCGACTCCAAGGTTGGGAAGCACCACGGACCCCCCCCCCTCCCGTCCGCTCCGATTCTATCATCTCGCCACGGCACCGGCGTGTGGGTTGAGGGGGTCAATACGCTTTCTCTTGCTGCTACGAAGAAGGGTCATTGCTCGAAACGTCGCAGACGAATGTGTGCAGAGTGTTTATTTGGTGGGGGTTTGTTTTGCGTGACGTGTTGAAACTTTCACCTGTACCTTGGTCTGTGATCTTGCAATGAAAGGCGCAATAGCAACAGCAAACATGATTAGTGTTCGTGCCCTCGACATCGGATGAACTCTACCGTTCACAAAAGACAGAGATCCTCCGTATGGCATAAACAGATTGTTAGGGCAAGTGCTTCTGAGCGACCACCTAATGAAGGCCGGCACTGCACACGAAGCCTCCTCCATTCGCCTGCACCTCCCATTCACTCCGGTCACGCTTGATCACTCTTCTATCGCGACTGCCATGGCTCGTGGTCCCGTGAACCTCACACGATGATTCCTCCAGCCGTGTTGAGGACTCGGCCTGCAGACACGGACTGTATCGTCTCATCCACCACACTGTGTTCCACCACCACCATTACACTGCAGTTCGCAACAACTCACTCACCCACCTACTCAACCACTCACTCACCCACCTACTCCACCACTCACTCACCTACCTACTCCACTACTCACTCACCCACCTACTCCACCACTCACTCACCCACCTACTCCACCACTCACTCACCCACCTACTGCACCACTCACTCACCACCAACTAAACCACTCACTTACCCACCTACTCCACCACTCACTCACCCACCTACTCCACCACTCACCCACCCACCTACTCCACCACTCACTCACCCACCAACTAAACCACTCACTCACCCACCTACTGCACCACTCACTCACCACCAACTAAACCACTCACTTACCCACCTATTCCACCACTCACTCACCCACCTACTCCACCACTCACTCACCCACCTACTCCACCACTCACTCACCCACCTACTCCACCACTCACTCACCCACCAACTAAACCACTCACTCACCCACCTACTCCACCACTCACTCACCCACCAACTAAACCACTCACTCACCCACCTACTCCACCACTCACTCACCCACCTACTCCACCACTCACTCACCCACCTACTGCACCACTCACTCACCCACCTACTCCACCACTCACCCACTACGCGACATAACTCGACAACGTAGGGAAGGCTCATCGCCGTCACCGTTACCCGTTATGAATGTTCACAGCGAAGTCGCGAATGTGTTGAATTTGTGTTAAGTTGTTCTACTATGAAGGCCCATTGCCCGAACCGTCGCCTGTTACGTAGTTTATTTTAAATGCCACAATGTTGTCGACGAACGTGCAGTTATGTATTTATTTATATGCAGCGTGTTGAACCTCTTGCCAGTTCGCCTTGGGCGGGTGACGTCACAGGGGGTTGGTGCCCAGGGCGCCGCTGCTGCTGCTGCACTCCGAGGCCCGGCACCCGAGTTAGACTCCGCGCGCCAACACCGCCGGTGACAATGATCTGGACAGGGTCTTGGGCCTCCCCTAGGTCAACTCAGCATTCAACCGAGTACTTGGTGTGATTTGTAAACATCGCCACTGGGGAGACAAAGGCGGCTGGGCGTGGTGCTGGCCACCCGCCCCCTCGTGTGCCGTGCCGGCCTTGATGCTACTCGCTAACAGCACTTGCCCCAAAAGTCTGTTAGGGCTATACGGGGGATCTGTGCCTTTATCTGTCTCTCTACCGCCGCTTGATCTCTTCTTTCCAAAAATAATCGCTGCTCGACACAGACGCTTAAACCGATCAGAGCGCGTGTGTGTGTGCGTGCGTGTGTGTATGTACGTGTGTGTGTATGTACGTGTGTGTGTATGTACGTGTGTGTGTATGTGCGCTACAAACCTGGCGACCCGGGTTCGATTACCCGCTCACGTCCACCACCAGTGACGATTATCTGAATCGGTCCAGGGCCTCCCCTAGGTTGACTCAGCCTCAAATGTGTACCAGGTGCCGTTTGTAAACGTTGCAACTGGAGAGACAATTTCGGCCGGGCGTGGTGCTGGCCACCCCACCCCCCTCGTGTGCCGTGACGGCCTTCAGAGTTGCTGCTGGCAAACAGCACTCGCCTCAACATTCTGTTCCGGACCACACGGGGGAGTCTACGCCGTTGTCTTTGTCGTCGGCTCCACGTCCGCCTCCTGCAGACACAGACCATGAGCTTCATGGGCCACCTGGCGGGCCAGGTGCTGGTGACAGGTGCGCGACCTCTACAAGGGCCTGAACCCTGCCACGCTCACGGGCTGCATCGACGTGATCGTGGTGCGGCGCGCCGACGGGTCGCTTGCCTGCTCGCCCTTCCACGTGCGCTTCGGCAAACTCGGCGTGCTCAGCTCCCGCGAGAAAGTGGTGAGCGCGATTCGAGCGATGATCGGCCGAGTGATGTGGTGCAATACTCAGACCCCTTAGGCCCCACACTGCAGAGGGCGGGACACCCCCGTGGTTTGTAGTGTGGGCAGTTTCAAGGTGGATTTTGCCAATGACATCACCAAACCCCGCCCATCACAGTACCCCCGCCCCACCTCCCCCCCGTGTGCAGGTGGATATTGAGGTGAATGGTTTCCCCGTGGATCTGCAGATGAAGCTTGGGGACAATGGGGAGGCGTTCTTTGTGCTCGAGACCGACGAGGTGAGAGATGAGGGGTGTTGCGGGGCGATGGTTCACCCTGGGGTCACCGCCTGGACCATCCAGTCTGGCCTGGACGGTTCGGGGATTCACCTCCTCGCTCGGGTGATGGCAGGAGTTGATGTGCACCTAGATCTCCCCCAATCACTCACCCACCCACCCACTAATTCCCTCACCCATGCACTAATTCACCCAACCACTCATTCACTCACCCACCCACCCACTAATTCCCTCACCCATGCACTAATTCACCCAACCACTTATTCACTCACCCATTCACCCGCCCACTTATTCCTTCACCCACTCATTCACCCAACTGGGATATCAGCTGGGGTAGATTCAAGCTCTGAGAATGAAAAACGTCGCGTCCATTGGCAGGCGATGGAGGTTGCTCGCCGTGGCGGCGCGCCTGGCCAAGTGCTGCCGTCCACTGCGTGTGTTGGACCAGAGGTCACTTCAAGGGGTCTCGGTGGTAGCTCTGTGGTATCCACTTCTCCAATACGGGGGGTGGTGGTCGGCAAGCTGCCACTGTCCGATTCCCTGTGGGGTCTCTCAGGGGGTGCCTCATGACCAGCGGCGCAGGGATTAACGAGGAGGATTTAACGGAGGTGGCTGTCGGTAGATTGGCCAGGTGGCGAGGTGCTGATGACGCCGCGTGTCCGGTGACGAGCGGCTCTGACCGTCACCCGCGGCCAAGGGGTGCCTGGGGAATTACGGGAGCGTGTGTGTGTGCGTATGTGTGCGCGTGTGTGTGCGTGTGTGCGCGTGTGTGTGCGCGTGTGTGTGTGTGCGCGTGTGTGTGTGTGCGCGTGTGTGTGCGCGTGTGTGCGTGTGTGTGTGTGCGCGTGTGTGTTGGTGTGGGGAGCGGTGCCAACACTAGGGGGTACAGGTGGTGCATTGGCCAGTCATCCCAGTCAGTCGACTCGTGGCACCTGGGTCTGCTCCGTGACCTGCTGCCCGCGGGCGTAAACATCGCCGCCACCGGGGAGCCAAAAAGGCCGGGCGTGGTCCTGGCCACCCACCGCCTCGTGTCCTGTGCTGGTCTTCACAGCTGCTCGCTAGCAGCACTTGCCCCTCCAGGCTGTTATATGGGGGGGGGGGGGGGGGTTGGGGGGCGGACTTTGTTGTAGTGGTCGTCGTGGCGGACTCACGGTGTGAGGGTGGCTCACGGACTGAGGGGTGGGTGGCTCACGGTGTGGGGGGTGGGTGGCTCACGGTGTGACGGGTGGCTCACAGTGTGACGGGTTGCTCACGGTGTGAGGGGTGGCTCACGGTGTGCGCTTGCAGGGGGAGCTTCCTTCCCACCTCTCCACGTCTCCCATCCCCATGGGCGGAGCCGGCCCACTGAGCCAGCAGCATGCCACCCCGCCCCCCTCTACCACCCCCCCAGCACCACAGGTAGCCCCCACACACCTGGTGGGGTGCATGGTGGGTGGAGTGTGTGGTGCATTGTGGGTGGAGTGTGGTGCATTGTTTGTGAAGTCTGTGTGCATTGTGGGTGGAGTGTGTGGTGCATTTCGGGTAGAGAGTTGGGCATTGTGGATATCGTATTGGTGCATTGTGAGTTTAGAGTGTAGGGTGGTACATTGTGGGTGTCGTTTAGAGAGTGTTGCATTGTGGGTGTGCGGTTAGCAGGGCGATCCGTCCAATGCTGCGGGTAGCACAGTCGCTATGGAGATGCTCAAGCGGCAGAGGATGAGGAGGAGGGAGGAGGAGGTGGGGGGAGGAGACTCCACGGACGAAGAGGACGAGGATGACGATGATGATGATGGGGAGGGGGGGCGCGGACGAGGGGGCGACGGGGGAGCCATGTTCAACTTGGAACTCAGCCCCGACGAGGAGGAGGAGGTGGAAGAGCGCGAGCCTGGAGACTCCTCGCCGGCGCGGAAGAGGAAGGAGAGACGGAAGAGGGGGTGAGCACTCGCGCGGGTCTGTGGAGGGTATTGTGCGGAGTGGTGGCTCCGCTGTTAGCACGCCGCACAATGACGCCCAGTGGCCTGCGTTCTATTCCTGCAGGGCGCTGCCAGGTTTCTTCCTGGCCTCTGGACCCCGTCAAAATACGACCGATGGACAATTGGGATGTTTGGAAAAAAGACAAATAAATAAATTACATTGTGCAGGCTCCTTTAGCGGACTTGCTAGGCAGCTTGTAACAATGAGTTTTTGTGGTTGTTAGAGCCGCCCTCTTTACACGCGACGAGTGATTTGCATTGTCACATCTCATTGCAACGCATTATAAAGGGGCACCCCCAGTGGCAGCTATCCTTGTGGGACACAAGCTTGCCAGTAGGGGGCGATTGATTGCTGCTGCGTGTAATCCCAGTAGAGCTATGTGGAGAGTTGTATTGTGGTTATATTGTGGTTGTGTTGTGGTTGTATTGTGGTTGTGTTGTGGTTGTATTGTGGTTGTGTTGTGGTTGTATTGTGGTTGTGTTGTGGTTGTATTGTGGTTGTTTTGTGGTTGTTTTGTGGTTGTATTGTGGTTGTTTTGTGGTTGTATTGTGGTTGTTTTGTGGTTGTATTGTGGTTGTATTGTGGTTGTGTTGTGGTTGTTTTGTGGTTGTATTGTGGTTGTGTTGTGGTTGTATTGTGGTTGTGTTGTGGTTGTATTGTGGTTTTGGTTGTAGTTTTGTGCCGGGTCAGATGGAGCACCGTGTGAGAGCCCCCACCTTCATCCCGAGCCAGAAGACGGTGTCAGACGGAGAGTGGAGTCCCACGCCCAGGTACGGGCGGAGACGCGGGGACACAGAGGTGCGGGGACACGGGGACGTGGGGACAGGGAGACATGGAGACACGGGGACACGGGGACACGGGGACACGGGGACGCGGGGACGTGGGGACGTGGGGACGTGGGGACAGGGAGACATGGAGACACGGGGACACGGGGACACGGGCACACGGGGACGTGGGGACGTGGGGACACGGGGACACGGGGACGTGGGGACAGGGAGACATGGAGACACGGGGACACGGGGACACGGGGACACGGAGACACGGGGACACGGAGACACGGGGACACGGGGACACGGGCACACGGGGACGTGGGGACGTGGGGACACGGGGACACGGGGACGTGGGGACAGGGAGATATGGAGACACGGGGACACGGGGACACGGGGACACGGGGACGCGGGGACGCGGGGACGTGGGGACGTGGGGACGTGGGCACACGGGGACGTGGGGACACGGGGACACGGGGACACGGGGACACGGGGACGTGTGGACACGGGGACACGGGGACGTGGGGACATGGGGACACGGGGACGTGGGGACGTGGGGACACGGGGACACGGGGACACGGGGACACGGGGACGTGTGGACACGGGGACACGGGGACGTGGGGACATGGGGACACGGGGACACGGGGACATGTGGACACGGGGACACGGGGACGTGGGGACACGGGGACACGGGGACACGGGGACGTGGGGACACGGGGACACGGGGACACGTGGACGTGGGGACACGGGGACACGGGGACGTAGGGACATGGGGACACGGGGACACGGGGACGTGGGGACATGGGGACACGGGGACACGGGGACATGGGAACATGGGGACACGGGGACACGGGGACGTGGGGACGTGGGGACGTGGGGACGTGGTGACAGGGAGACGAGTTGTTGTTGTTGTTGTGTCCAGTCCTTCGTGCAGCCCCAAGAGCGACTCGGAGCTGAGCGTCCACCCCACAGGGGAGCGGCGCACGTCGGTCATGGAGCAGCACATGCAGTGGGCCTGGGGGGCCTTCCCCAGGGCGGCGCTGGTGAATGGGGGGGTGGGACCCAGCCTCCCCTCCTCCCACCCTCTTCCTATCCCCCCACCACCCCCCTCCTCTTCCCTCCTCTCACCTCCGCACGTGCGAGTCGGAGCGTGCATCGTGAGCTGAGCTATCGGTATAAATCGATGAATTGACGATGCATCGTCACCAGCGAGGACCATAAAGGTGGTGTGGGAGGGGTGGGCTTATTGCCCCCTCCCTTGGGACCCAGAACATCCGGCGCTGTGTTGATGACTTTATTTTTTATTAAATTCACGGCTGTGTATATATATTAATATTTTTGGGACCCCCCCCCTTCTCTCCCCCGCCCCCTCTACGCCCCTCCCGTCCCTCCCTGCTCCACCTCTGCAGCAGCACCGGCCCTCGGTGAGTGGGGAGCAGCGGAAGGCAGAAGGGGGGTCCCGATTTCAATCCCGCAGAGGAGCGCAGTGCTCCTGGTCGAACATGGAATCATCATCAGCAGCAGCAGCAGCAACATCACGAGCAAGATCATTAGTAGCAATTTCAGCACAAGCAAATGGAACAATATCAGCAGGGCCAAAAACACTTGAATCAGCGGCCCGAATTACAACATCATCATCATCATTATCAAAAACAAAAACAATAGTAGAAACATCATCAGCAGCAACAGGTTCATTATCATCAACAGCAGCAACCACCACCACAGCAAGACAAGCAAAAGGAACAACAGCAGCAGTAGCAGCACCATCACCATCAGCATCACCAGCAGCAGAATCTGCAGCTGCACCAATAGTATTGGAAGCTTCAGTGAAATCATCATCAGCAGCAGCAGCAGATCAGACGGGTGACGTGCTGGGCGACCCGCCGGGTAACCCACCGGGTAACCCATCTGGTGACCTGCCGGGCGACTCATTGGGTGACTCATTGGGTGACTCATTGGGTGACTCATTGGGTGACTCATTGGGTGACTCATTGGGTGACAAGCTGGTCGACTCACCGAGGGACCCGCCGGGCGACGTGCCGGTGGAGTCGCCGGGCGACGTGCCGGTGATCGTGATCGAGCGCGCCGAGACTGCCGCTGCCGCCAGCAGGGTCCGGCAAATCCCGGCCCCCCAGAGCTCCGGGGGGACCCAGACCCCCTACGGTGCGGCGGGTGGGACCCCCAGGGCCCCCCTCGTGTCATGGGACTCGGTGTACGAGGATGCGGTGGAGGTGGGGGATGCTGCTGCTGCGATGGGCAGTGGGAGAGGTAAGTGTGCAGTGCACGGCGATGAGTGGGTGGGTGAGCGGGTGAGAGATTTTGTGGTGAGTGAGGGCGTGAGCGAGTGGGTGAGTTCGTGTGCAAAGCACTAAGTTAAGTGAGTGAATGAGTGGGTGAGAGAAATGTGGGGAGCGGTAGTATAGTGGTTAGTGCACTGCGCTACGAACCCTGCGACCTGAGTGACTATTATCTGAACGGGTCCATGGCCTCCCGTAGGTCGACTCAGCCTATAAGGAGTGTGCGAACATCGCTACTGGGGAGACAAAGGCGGTCGGGCGAGGTGCCGGCCACCCACCCCGTCGTGTGCCGTGCCTGCCTTCGTAGCTACCTCGACTCGCCGACAGCACTTGCCCCAACAGCCTGCTGAAGCCTATACGGGGGATCTTTGTCCGTGTGCCACTGTAGAGAACCACGCGGCGGACGAGGTGTGGGGTCAGCCGAGCGTCTCAGGGGAGGCGCCCCCCTCAACCGTCGTTGCCGGCGGCGGCGACGACGGCGGCGTCGACGGCGTCACGTGCTCCAGTGACGAGGTGAGCCGCCGCCGCCGTCGCCGCCGTCGCCGTCATCCGGGACGGAGGAGCGAGAAAGGGGGGGGGGTCGTTGGGGAGATGGGAGGGGGGTGGGGGAGCAGATGAATCGTTACGCGGTGGGTGAAGTACGACACCAACCCCCCCCCCTCTCTTCTCCCCCCGCTCGAGCTGCAGGCCGGCGAGCTTGCCCCTGGCGGGACCCCCGCGCCCCCCCCTTGGGGGCAGCCCCCCCGACGGCGGCGCGGACTGCCGGTGGGACTCCCCCCTGGGCCCCCCCGGAGGGCCCCGGATCGCGCTGTCGCTGTGCGGGGGGCTGAGCGACACGGGGCAGCTCACGGAAGGTGCGGGGCGCCCGGGAGTAGTGCTAGTGCCTTACGCCGGTGTTAGACGCGACTACCGCGCTGCACACCTTCGCCGACCGGTACCGACCAATGCGGTGAAGTATGGCCAAATGATCCTCACGACCCGCTTCTGGGCACCATCCAGCAGTGGAGTGACACGAGGCCTGTGCCAGTGATGACGCACGGCATTTAACCGATTGCGTAACAGATTCATGAATGCAGATGACGTGGATACGCAGATAATGCGCATCTACGTGTCTGCCTCTCCACACGTAGAACATTAAAGCTGCGGGCATTTACGTAATAATTTATATTCCCCATAATGATGCTAAAGATGATTGCTTTTTGTGTATCGTACAGAGTGTTGCGTTGAACTAAGGCCAATATATCTCAGTCAGAGGGGACATTGCTCCGTCAGATTCACACGCCACCTGAGTGATTGACAGTTGACCGTACTTCTGTGCCCCCCCCCCCTCCCCAGAGCGGTTCCGCGAGCGCCGCGTCGCCTTCCTGGATCTGTGTGAGAACCCGGAGCTGCTCAGCGACCCGCAGCTCGTGGTGAAGATCGGCAACAGGTGAAGACGCGGCACGGCACGGCCACGGGTGGGTGGGCGGCCTGGGTAGGGGCTGGCAGCAGTGCGTCTGCCTCTCGGCTCGTTCACATTGCAGACTTCGCTGCTGCTTCTACTGCCATTCACACAGACTTAGGCGCTTCACAATAATTATACAACTCTACACGAGACGCCAGTGATTGAGCTACAGAGTGGGGTGGTTATTAAAGTTGTCGTGGTGGTGCAGTTGTGGTGACAGGAGAATGGCTTTTGAGTGGTTAAAGAGGGGTAGGGGTTGTAGTAGTGGTAGGGGTTGTGGTTGTGGTAGGGGTTGTGGTAGGGGTTGGGGTTGTGGTAGGGGTTGGGGTAGTGATAGGGGTTGGGGTAGTGATAGGGATAGTGGTATGGGTTGTGGTAAGGGTTGTGGTAGTGGTAGGGGTTGTGGTAAAGATAGGGGTAGTGGTAGGAGTTGTATTAGTGATATGGATAGTGGTAGAGGTTGGGGTAGTGATAGGGTTAGTGGTAGGGGTTGGGGTAGTGATAGGGATAGTGGTAGGGGTTCGGGTAGTGATTGGGGTTGGGGTAGTGATAGACGAGATGGGGGTTAGTGGTCTTCAGGGAGGAAGGGAAGCCGGTTAAGAAGGTCCCCATGATGTAGCTGCTCGCCCCGAGTGCTCTGATATGCGTGGCGTTGTGTTTGGTCTATCAGAGCATGTGCCGTCGCATGTTCAACACAACTACATGTGGTCAATGCAGATATGATCTCTTGCAAAAGGTTTCCATTAGGTGTTTTTTACATCTTAACACCCGTTTTATTGCCAAAAAGGGGAAACCCTATTATTATTACTTTTTCATACTGTTATATCACCTCCAGTGTGTCTGTGTGTTGGTGTGTGTTGGTGTCTGTGTGTTGGTGTGTGTCTGTGTGTGTGTCTGTGTGTTGGTGTGTGTGTCTGTGTGTTGGTGAATCTCTGGTGTTGCTCACCACAGCTATTACAACTGGGCAGTGGCGGCTCCCATCCTACTCTCCGTTCACGCCTTTGGGAGGCAGCTACCACAGGTGCGAACGGGAAGACACACACACACATACTCATTTAGGGCTGAGTCGACCTCGGGGAGGCCCATGACCGGTTAAAATCCACAGGTAGCCAGCGGCACGCCCGGCTGGCATTGTCTTCCCAGTGCTGATGTCTACACACACTGCACCAGGTACTCATTTAAGGCTGAGTCTACCTAGGGTCCACACGGGGGACCTCTGTCTGTGTAGGCGTGTGTGGACCGCCTGGTGAGGGAGAAGATGTCCCGCTCGTCGTATCGCTGGTGGTTCTCATGGGGACGCCGTGACAACGCAGCGCTGGTAACACTCACCACTCGCTCACCACTCGCTCACCTCCCGCTCACCTCCCACTCACCACTCACTCACCTTCCACTCACCTCCCGCTCACCTCCCACTCACCTCCCACTCACCTCCCACTCACCACTCACTCACCTCCCACTCACCTCCCACTCACCACTCACTCACCTCCCACTCACCTCCCGCTCACCTCCCACTCACCTCCCACTCACTACTCACTCACCTCCCACTCACCGCCCACTCACCTCCCACTCACCTCCCACTCACCTCTCACTCACCTCCCACTCACCGCCCACTCACCTCTCACTCACCTCCCACTCACCTCCCACTCACCTCCTACTCACCGCCCACTCACCTCCCACTCACCTCCTACTCACCGCCCACTCACCTCCCACTCACCTCCTACTCACCTCCCACTCACCTCCCACACTTCTCAGTGTCACTCGCACTTGCAGCTCTAGTGACTCACCTGTGACCCTCCCCCGTGACCCCCCCCCCACCCCTCCCCACCGTGCCGGCAGGAGTCACCGGGGAGGGGCGACGTGGCGAGCACCCCCAGTGGCACCGAGTCGAGCCCCAGCACCAGCACCAGCGCAGCCTCCACCACACACAGGTGACCCCCCCCCCCCCGCTCACCCCCACCACCCCCCACCCCCCACACTCACCTCCACTCCCACCCTCCCTCCACCCCCCCACCACCCTCCACCCCCCCACCACCCTCCACCCCCCCCACCACCCCCACCCCCCTCCACCCCCCTCCACCCCAACCCCCACCCCCCCTCCACCCCCCCTCCACCCCCACCCCCCTCCACCCCCACCCCCCCCTCCACCCCCACCCCCACCCCCCTCCACACGCGGACTGAGAGGCGGTCAGCACGCGACGTCATCAACCCCTCTGACCCCGGCCCCCCACTCGTCTTGCCCTGGCTCACAGCCCCCCCCCCCCCCACTCGTCTTCCCTGGCTCACAGCGCCCCCCACTCGTCTTGCCCTGGCTCACAGCGCCCCCCACTCGTCTTCCCTGGCTCACAGCGCCCCCCACTCGTCTTCCCTGGCTCACAATGCCCCCCACTCGTCTTGCCCTGGCTCACAGCGCCCCCCACTCGTCTTCCCTGGCTCACAATGCCCCCCACTCGTCTTGCCCTGGCTCACAGCGCCCCCCACTCATCTTGCCCTGGCTCACAATGCCCCCCACTCGTCTTGCCCTGGCTCACAGCGCCCCCCACTCACAGCGCCCCCCACTCGTCTTGCCCTAACTCACAGCGCCCCCCACTCACAGCGCCCCCCACTCACAGCGCCCCCCACTCGTCTTGCCCTGGCTCACAGCGCCCCCCACTCACAGTGCCCCCCACTCGTCTTGCCCTGGCTCACAGCCCCCCACTCGTCTTGTCCTGGCTCACAGCCCCCCACTCACAGCGCCCCCCACTCGTCTTGCCCTGGCTCACAGCCCCCCACTCACAGCGCCCCCCACTCGTCTTGCCCTGGCTCACAGCGCCCCCCACTCGTCTTGCCCTGGCTCACAGCGCCCCCCACTCGTCTTGCCCTGGCTCACAGTGCCCCCCACGAGGATTCCCCCCTGGAGGTGCAGGGACCCCCACAAATGCAGAAGCTGAAGCCGCCCCCCACCTCCCCGCTGGACACGCGGCCCCCCGCTCCGGCGTTCCGCAAGACACTGCGTTTGTCCTCGCAGCAGCTCGTGAGTGCTCGTGGGGGGGGTATGAGGGGGTTGGGGGGTAGCCTGCAGCTGCTGCCCTTGTCGAGGGGTTGTAGCAGTCGAGGGGGTCGTGTCGCACCTCCGATTAGCAGTTGGCCACGTACGGTGCGACAGAAGTTCTGCATAGACACGTACACTTCAGTGCTCCCATTATTGTCCAGTGCTCCCATCATTGTCCAGTGCTCCCATCATTGTCCAGTGCTCCCATCATTGTCCAGTGCTCCCATCATTGTCCAGTGCTCCCATCATTGTCCAGTGCTCCCATCATTGTCCAGTGCTCCCATTATTGTCCAGTGCTCCCATTATTGTCCAGTGCTCAGAAATCAGAATCAGAAACGGTTTTAATCGCCATGTAAGTTTGCACAAACAAGGAATTCACTATGGCGGGACGGTGCATACATTGAACAAGTAGGAATCTTAACTTATATAAAAGGTATACACTCTAACTATACTAACGTTACAAAGTATAAGTAATACCAAAGGGCTAAAATCTTTAAAATTATGAATAAGTAGACCTTATAAAATGCGAATGTAAAATGTTAATTAGCCATATTAAACAATCTTAAAATACAAAAATACAAATAAGATTACACGTTGTAAGTATGGAAAGGTGTAATTATGTAGATAAAATGTTATAGTAAGTGTAACAGTCATTTTAAGTGTAAAAGTCATTTTAAGCCCTTGGCCTTGTTGAGGAGGCCAACAGCGGATGGGAAAAAACTGTTTTTATGACGTGAGGTTTTGGTCTTGATGGACCGCAGCCTTCTGCCGGAGGGTAGTAGCTGGAACAGAGAGTATCCAGGGTGCGAGGAATCTTCCGCAATCTTCCTCGCTCGCTTCAGGGTCCTCAAAGTGTGCAGGTCCTCAAGGGTTGGTAGATTACAGCCAATCACCTTCTCAGCAGTGCTGATGATACGCTGCAGTCTGCTCTTGTCCTTGGCAGTGGCAGCAGCGTACCAGACGGTGATGGAGGAGGTGAGGATGGACTGAATGATAGCTGTATAGAAGCACACCATCATTGTCTTTGGCAGATTAAATTTCTTCAGCTGCCGTAGGAAGTACATTCTCTGTTGAGCTCTCTTGATAAGGGAGCTGATGTTCAGTTCCCACTTGAGGTCCTGGGAAAGAATAGTGCCCAGGAAGCGGAAGGACTCAACATTGGTGACTGGGGAGTCGCACAGGGTGATGGGGGTGAGTGGGGCTGTATTCTTCCTGAAGTCCACAACCATCTCCACGGTCTTAAGAGCATTAAGCTCCAGGTTGTTCTGGCTACACCAGGTCACCAGGTTGTCAGCTTCCCTCCTATAGTCAGACTCATCCCCATCAGAGATTAGCGCAATGAGGGTGGTGTCGTCCGCAAACTTCAAGAGTTTGACAGACTAGTGACTGGAGGTGCAGCTGTTGGTGTACAGGATGAAAGCAGAGGGGAAAGGACGCAGCCCTGAGGAGATCCGGTGCTGATTGACCTGGCGGCAGAAACTTGTGATCCCAGTTTGACACACTGCTTCCTGTCAGACAGGAAGTCTGTGATCCATCTGCAGGTGGAGTCTGGCACGTTCAGCAGGGAGAGCTTGTCCTGAAGCAGGGCAGGGATGATGGTGTTAAAAGCCGAGCTAAAGTCCACAAACAGGATCCTGGCGTAGGATGCTGCGGAGTCCAGATGCTGTAGGGTGAAGTGGAGGGCCATGTTAACTGCGTCATCCACAGACCTGTTGGCTCTGTAGGCAAACTGAAGGGGGTCCAGTAGAGGGTCTGTGATGGCTTTGAGGTGGGCCAGGACCAGGCGCTCAAAAGACTTCATTACCACGGAGGTAAGGGCGATGGGTCTGTAATCATTTAATCCTGTTGGCCTTGGCTTTTTGGGCACTGGAATGATGATGGAGGACTTGAGACAGGCTGGTACATGACATGTCTCCATGGAGGTGGTAAAGATGTTGGTGAACACTGGAGACAGCTGGTCCGCGCAGTGCCTGAGGGTGGCTGGAGAGACAGAGTCCGGCCCAGCTGCTTTGTGTGGGTTCTGCCTCTTGAAAAGTTTTTTAACTTCTCCCTCCTGAATGGAGATAGTTGTCTCTGTAGTGTGGGGTGGGATAGGGGCCTCTTGGGTGGGAAGGGGTAGTTCAGGACAGTCCAATTGTCTTTCAAATCTGCAGTAGAACTCGTTCAGGTCGTTGGCTAGGCGGGAGTCGTTAGTGGTGTGGGGGGCTCTGGGCTTGTAGTTGGTGATCTGCCTGAGCCCTCTCCAGACAGAAGCAGAGTCATTGTCATGCTCTACGCGTCAGACTCTCACCGAGCCTCAAGAAGCATCCTCAGGAGGGTCCTGCCGAGTGTCCTCAGTAGGAGGTGCGATGTTGATGTTGCCGCCACTGCCGCCGCTGCTACCGCTGCCGCCACTGCCGCCGCTTCTGCCGCTGCCGCTGCCGCCGCTGCTGCCGCCGCTACTGCTGCCGCTGCTGCCGCTGCCGCCGCTTCTGCCGCCGCTGCTGCTGCTGCCGCTGCCGCCGCTTCTGCCGCTGCCGTTGCCGCCGCTGCTGCTGCCGCTGCCGCTGCCGCCACTGCCGCCGCTGTTGCCGCCGCTGCAGCGGCACACGAGGGGGTGTGTGGCCAGCACCACGCCCGGCCGCCTTTGTCTCCCCGGTGGCGATGTTTACTACACACCGCAGCAGGTTCGAATTTGAGGCCGAGTCCACCTAGGGGTGGCCCGGCGTTAACCGTGAGCGGGAATGGAACCCGTCCCCCGTGAGCGCGCAGGCCAGCCTGGGGCTGCGTCCGGGCGCCAACGAAGTGCGTTTCAGCGTGACCACGCCGTTCCAGGGCACGACCCAGTGCCAGGGCACGCTGCACCTGTGGGACTGGGACTCGCGTGTCATCATCTCCGACATCGACGGCACCATCACCAAGTGAGGGCAACGCGCCGTCACATCACCGCTCCATAACATCATCGCTACATCACGTAATCGCTACGTCACATCCTCGCTGCATCACACCATCAGCCCATCATCACACTCCATGGCAGCATCTCCCATGAACCCACCGCGCTCTCTAAATCCGTGCCGCCAGGTCGGATGCTCTCGGCCAGATCCTGCCAACGCTGGGCAAGGACTGGACGCACGAGGGCATCGCTCGCCTCTTCCACCGCATCCACCAGTGAGTCGACCCTTGTGTGTGTCTGCGTGTCCGCGTGTGTCCGCGTGTGTCCGTGTGATCGCGTGTGATCACGTGTGTGTCTGTGTGATCGCGTGTGATCACGTGTGTGTCTGTGTGATCGCGTGTGATCACGTGTGTGTCTGTGTGATCGCGTGTGATCACGCGTGTGTCCGTTGATCACGTGTGTCCGTGTGTCCGTGTGTGTCCGTGTGATCACGTGTGTCCGTGTGATCACGTGTGTCCGTGTGTGTCCGTGTGATCACGTGTGATCACGTGTGTCCCCGTGTGTCCGTGTGATCACGTGTGTCCGTGTGATCACGTGTGTCCGTGTGTGTCCGTGTGATCACGTGTGATCACGTGTGTCCCCGTGTGTCCGTGTGATCACGTGTGTCCGTGTGATCACGTGTGTCCGTGTGATCACGTGTGTCCTCGTGTGTCCGTGTGATCACGTGCCTGTCTAATGCACGCGTCTTCGGAGCGGTAGTGTAGCGGTCAGCGCACTGCGCGATGAACCCGGCGTCCCGAGATTGATTCCTGCTGAGGGCCAATAGCAGTGACGATTATCTGCACCAGTCATGGGCCTCCCCTAGGTCGCGACAGCCTCAAACGAGAACCCAGTAGGACGTGTGAACATCGCCACTGGGGAGACAAAGGCAGGCGTGGTACTGGTAACCAACCCTCTCGTGCGCCGTGCCGACCTTCATAGGGGTTCATGTTGAACTTCTTGCGCTCCGTACGTAGTCAACCGCAATGATCGAATGTGCGGGGAAGGACAACAAACTAAGCGCTAAAAGCAATTATCGCTAACAGCACTTGCCCCAACAGTCCATCAAGGCTATCCGGGGGATCTTTGTCATTGTAGGAACGGGTACAAGTTCCTGTACTGCTCAGCGCGTGCGATCGGCATGGCGCACATGACGCGCGGCTACCTGCAGGGCGTGAGGGAGCAGGGCACCATGCTGCCACGCGGACCCCTGCTGCTCTCGCCCAGCAGCCTCTTCGCTGCCCTGCACAGGTGAGGCGCAGGTGAGGTATAGGTGAGGCACAGGTGAGGTACAGGTGAGGTACAGGTGAGGTACAGGTGAGACGCAGGTGAGGTACAGGTGAGGTACAGGTGAAGTGCAGGTGAGGTGCAGGTGAGGTGCAAGTGAAGTGCAGGTGAGGTGCAGGTGAGACACAGGTGAGGTGCAGGTGAGGTGCAGGTGAGGTGCAGGTGAGGTACAGGTGAGACACAGGTGAGGTACAGGTGAAACACAGGTGAGGTGCAGGTGAGGTGCAGGTGAGACACAGGTGAGGTACAGGTGAGACACAGGTGAGGTGCAGGTGAGGTGCAGGTGAGGTACAGGTGAGGTGCAGGTGAGACACAGGTGAGGTGCAGGTGAGGTGCAGGTGAGGTGCAGGTGAGGTGCAGGTGAGACACAGGTGAGGTGCAGGTGAAACACAGGTGAGGTGCAGGTGAGGTGCAGGTGAGGTGCAGGTGAGGCGCAGGTGAGATGCAGTTGAGACACAGGTGAGGTACAGAGTGCTCTAATTACTCGCCTTGCGTGGCCAGCACAGGGTGAATCAGTCTGTGCTCACAAACGAGTCTGTATGTTTGAACGTGTGTCAGTGCATGTGTGCACGTGTGTGCGTTGTGTGTCCGTGTGTGCGTTCATAAAAAAACCATGTGTCTTTGTCCGTGTGTGCGTGTGTCCGTGTGTGCGTGTGTGTGCGTGTGTGTGCGTGTGTGTGCGTGTGTCTGCGTGTGTGCGTGCGTGTGTGTGTGAGAGAGCTACTGAGCACTTGTTTTTCCTTCTGCCCCCCCCCACACCCGATGTGCCCAGGGAGGTTATCGAGAAGAAGCCGGAGCGGTTCAAGATCGAGTGTCTGCGTGACATCGGCCGCCTCTTCCACCCCACCCCGGAGCCCTTTTACGCCGCGTTCGGCAACAGGGCCAACGTAAGGTCGACTCAGCCATAAATGAGTACCTGGTGCAGTGAGCATGAACATCAGCGCTGGCCACCCTCCCCATCGTGCGCCGTGCCGGCCTTCATAGGCGCTCGTGAACAGCCCTTGTTAAAGCAGTGCGCGGAGGCTACTCGGGGGACCTTTGTCTGTGTGACTGTGCGCAGGACGTGTTGGCCTACAGGGAGGTGGGGGTGGCTGAGCCGAGGATCTTCACGGTGAACCCCCGCGGGGAGCTGGTGCAGGAGCACGCACGCACAGACAAGTCCTCGTGCGTGCCCCCCCCTCCCCACTCACCCCCCAACCTGCCTTCATCCCTCCTCCCCTCCCTCACTCCCACCCTCCTTTCCCTCTTCCGCCCTCCTACGTGCCTCCCCCCTCCCCTCCACCCTCCACCCTCCCCTCCACCTTCCCGTCCTCACTCCCCCTCAACCCTCCTTCCCCTCCTCCTCCTTTCTCCTCCCTCCCCCCTCCCTCCCTCCCTCTCCCTCCCCCTTCCCTCCTCCCCTCACCCCCTCCCTCGATCCCTACCCTCGGAGTTAAATTCCAGCTCACGGCCAACATAGTTGATGATTGTTTGAACTAGTCCTAAGTATAAGCATCAGCACTGGGGAGACAAAGGCGGCCGGGCAGACGAGGCAGTTGCCATCCGAACCCCTCGTAGGCCACGCAGCCGCCTCAGGTGTTACTCTCTAATAGCACTTGCCCCAACAGCCTGCGCGACCTACAGGGGGGACCTTTGTCTGTGCGTGCGCATGGCAGGTACGGGAAGCTGCATGACGTGGTGGACCACGTGTTCCCACGGCTGCCCACGGCGGGGGGAGGCGGAGCGGGGGAGGGGCCCCCCAGCACAGCCTCGTGAGCGGCCCGGAGACTCCCGCAGGCCCCCACCTCGGCCTGCTCCCTGCACCTCGTCGCGCCTCTGCCCTGCTCGCCTCGATCCTCCACGTCACCCCCACGCACGACCCCCCTCCCTACTTCCCACCTCATCCTCCCTCCACCCACCAGCCCATCCACTCCCTCCCACGACCTCCCACACCACCACCTCATCCGCCCTACACACACCACCTGCAACCCCTCGCACCTCCTCCCACCTCCACCATCACTGCCCAATCGTCGACATCCTCACATCGCCTCCACCCTCCACCTCATCCTTCACCTCCTGCCCACCTCCACTCACCACCACCACCCACCACCACCTCCACCCACCACCACCCACAACCACATCCACCCACCACCACCTCATCCTTCCTCCACCCACCTGCACCTCCCACTACCGTGACCCTCGAACCTCCCACCACCATGCTCCCTCGTCCTCACCTCCACCCCCTGGTTTATGCTGATGTATTTATCTACCCAGATATATATTTACAGGCGATGAAGGCGCATTTGAAAACATTGCCATGTCACGTTTCACGTCAATGTCCCAAAGCTACGATGATGTCAGCGCTGAGTCAGGAGTTGAAGTGATTCAGAAGCACAAGGAGTAAAGCCGTAGAGCTAATAAGCTCTTCTCGGCCGGCAGACATCATCCAAGCATTTCACAATTACAAATTTGAAAAACACAAATTTACTAATAGCAATTATGCTGTAAATTTACATTCAGACAAAAACTTTGGTGATTTTAATAACAGAGTAAGTTTCAGTTCAGTTTATTTTGAAGTACCCTGTTAGCCAAGAAGCTCTTAAATCGGGTTTCATCATCATCATCACCATCATCATCATCACCATCATCATCACCACCACCACCATCATCACCATCAACAACAACAAAAACATTGCCACTTCTCTGACAAACGCAGCAAATCACAGTAAAATAAATCGATGATAACAATAAGAGGTGAGAGAAATGAAAAAATACTGAGCAAATCATCAGTACAATATTAAAATTATCATTACAAAAAAGAGCTTAAATATAGGTTATCATCAACTAGGTGGTTCCAACATTTTGGGCCAGCTACATGAAATGTTTTCGATCCAAATTAAGTGCGAAATCTGGGCACAATTAGTCGACAACGATTGCTGTGATTCTGTGGTCTTGTGTATGAGCCATTCATCACCGAACATTCATATTTGTGCTATTATCTTCGACCTCGATGTAAAACTAATTGCACGCCGGGAAATGTTTCGCTGTCTGATTTAGATATTAATATTATTATGGTTAGATTTAAATAGTATGGTTATATATAAATAATACTATTGTTATATATACATATTGGTATGGTTGCATATAAATAATATTGTGGCTATAAATAGATGTTCACGAGCTTGTGGCGGCGCCGCCTCGTGGCCACAGCGCGGAATGTCGCTCCAATCGCGACCGCGACGGCGCGTGGCGCGGCAGGTCAAGGCGTTGTGACGTCACAAGAGCCCTCGTGACGTCACAAGAGCCCTCGTGTGCACGTGCTCATGTGTGCACGCGTGTATGTATGTATCTTTAACTTCTTCCGCACCGTACGTCGGCAACCGCGCTAATCGGAGGTGCGGGGGAATGACAACAGAAGGGCCCTCCTGCTATGCAGCTTTGTTATATATACTCAACACAGTTGCTCAATAAATACAGACCTTAAAGGTCCAACACGTCGAGCAGCCAGCAAAAACGGCACTCATTAAAGTTGTAACAGATGAGAGTGTAGAGCGCGTTTATTCGTGAGCGAGGTGATTATTGTGAGTGTAAGAGCTTGGGGAAGAGAGGCGATGGTGGTGGTGGTTATCACAGGGGGAGGGAATTCCAAAGTGGAGCAGTGCGAGGGAAGAGGTGGCGAGAGGAGTAAAGTGACCTGCAGTGTGGTGAGTGGGGGGTGATTGGGTGAGTGGGGGGTGATTGAGTGAGCGAGTGAGCGATCGGGTGAGCGAGTGGGCGATCGGGTGAGCGAGCGGGCGATTGGGTGAGCGAGCGGGCGATCGGGTGAGCGAGCGGGCGATCGGGTGAGCGAGCGGGCGATCGGGTGAGCGGACAAAGCGTGTGCGAGTGAGTTGCACCTGAGCCATGTGGGGCTGCGGTTGGGAGTTCGATTCCTGCCCAGTGTTGTACTGAAGGGTTGTTCCAGAATTACCGGTTCGCAAAGTCTGGTAACCGGTTTTGTACCGGTTTTGTAAACCCATTCGCTTACCGGTTATGCAGGAACACGATGTGAGTGCCCCCAGTCTATCGTGGTACCGCTCAGTAGCGACGCGGTCTTCCACGCTCGTCAAGTCGGGGCGGTCGAGAGACGCTTGTGAACGCGCCGCTACCCCACAGGAGAGGGAGGTGTGGGGGGGGGACGACGACTCCGAGGCGCCGGGAGGGGGCCACAGACGAGGAGCAGCAGCAGGTGCAGCAGCAGGTGCAGCAGCAGGTGCAGCAGCAGGTGCAGCAGCAGGTGCAGCAGCAGGTGCAGCAGCAGGTGCAGCAGCAGGTGCAGCAGCAGGTGCAGCAGCAGGTGCAGCAGCAGCAGCAGCCACGCGGTGGTGAGGAGCCGACGCCAAATTACCCGCACCCAAAGCCCTGCGGTTCTCTTCATGTTTCTCAGCACCCTGAGAAACCCCACGCGTGCGAGGGGGGGACACTATATCCCACACAGGAGGGACACGTCGAGTACTTGTTGCTGTTGTTGTTGCTGTTCTGCCTTCTGACAGCTCCTCGACGCCAACGGGAAGGCACTTTCGCGACATTTCCGTGATCCAGCAACCCTCGCCGCTTGCCCGCAGTGCTCGATGACAGACCACGTGCTGCTGAGCCACCGCCAATGGGCGATTGTCTCATCCATAGGCCCGGTTGAGTGGCGCGCACCGGTGTCCCAGAGCTTTGCTGGAAAGGGTTGGTGGATCAGTCAGAGATATTTAGCGCGGGGCACGTAGCCCGTGTAGCTACTTGTGCTACTGGGAGAATCCGGCACTGCAGCAGTGAAGAGTCTGCGGCGTGAGGCCGTGCAAGGTCATCGTGGAGGTCGGCAAATAAAATCGAACACTCGGCACTTTCCTCAAACAAAACACCACCGTGTGTGGCTTTTAAATAAAACTATTATACTCGACGTTTCGGGCAATTACCCTCCTACAGAGCACAGTTTGTTTCCTGCCCATTTCTTATCTGTTTTTCCTCTTAAGGCCGAACACTGTTCTTGGTGTTATTGGCGTTGCTTGTGCACCGCTGCCAACGCAGCAGCAGCAGCAGCAGCAGGAGCATCACCACCACGTCGTTTGTGTTATGAAGCTGTTGTCGTGATGGGGGTTTTCATCATCCACACGTTGGATTTCCCCATCGAGTACATTCCCAGCAAACACACCAACCTTGGCCCAACGTTCCGTGTTTACTTGGTAATGCCCTCTACGCGGGACGACTCGTGGCACAAAACCAAACCGACCACATAAACAAAACAAAATGCGTAGAAGTCAGCAGCTGATGTTTTCTTTTTTGCAAAACATGTATTTTTGTACACAGCTCAATATTTACAACCAACATTTTGCAAGACCCGGATATAAATAGATAAATACTGGTAGTGTATGATGGTTATGATCGTGACATCATACACAGTAAACACAAAGGGCGATGCAGCGACACAATTGGGCATCACAAATCCCCCCCCCCCCCACGCAATCCAGCCAGTCACGTGTGTACATTGCGCTGCTGGACCCCCACGGCAGCCAGTCACGTGTGTACATTGCGCTGCTGGACCCCCACGGCAGCCAGTCACGTGTGTACATTGCGCTGCTGGACCCCCACGGTAGCCAATCAGAGTTGCCCGTTTCAATGTTGAGATCACACGGACCAATCACGGTAGCCAATCAGCTTTTGTCCGTTTCGACTGCTGAGCAACTACGCTGACCAGTCACGTGTTCATATTGATGGTGCTGTTTGTTGCTGGCCGTTTGATAATGTTGGGCCTGTTCCGTTCCAACAAAAGCAACATCGATCGGCAAAGCCGCCGCCCCGAGTGTGTTTACAGACATTGCCCGACATCCCAGGCACTGGCCTCTCCCAATTTCACGCGATTCGCTGTGTCAGCATTTCCAAGAAAACAATTATAACAACAATATTAATATATTATAATAAATTATACCGCCCAACTTAACTTGATAACTTAGGAATGAGTCCTCCATCCATTCATCCAAGCGTTCATTCATTCGTTCTTTCGTTGCAAAACAGGCAGAATGTTGAAAGACGCCCTATTAAACAATACCGTATATATGTTTACACACAACGTATGTATGTTGAACTTCTTTCGCACCGTACGAGTGTGTGCGTGTCCACACGCATACAACGACGGCGCGTGTGGACGAGCGGTGCGGCGGGGGGAGGAAGGGGAGGAGGGGGCTGTAAACGTGGAACGGGACGCGAGACGCCAGAGAGTGAAGAGGTTCGTGGTGGTAAATTAATGTTTAGACACGTAACGATTTTGACAAATATGTGTCGCGAGTCCCTCCACCACCCGGCGGCGATGAGAGTCGTGACGCCTCACTCGGAACTGCGAGGGGCGTTCGGATTCTGATGGTGAGGATTAGGGGCGCAGGCAGTGCGAGAGGACGATTGGGAGTTGGAGATTAGAAAAGGGCCACGGGTAGTGCTAGAATGGGATTGGCTCGTGCGATTAGGGTCGGGCTCGTGGTATTATTATGGACTGGTACAGTCGAGTTGCGGGTAGTGCTCGTGTCTGGTTGCCTAGTTAGTGGTAGTGCTCGTGTCTGGTTGCCTAGTTAGTGGTAGTGCTCGTGTCTGGTTGCCTAGTTAGTGGTAGTGCTCGTGTCTGATTGCCTAGTTAGTGGTAGTGCTAGGGGCTAGTTAGTGGTAGTGCTAGGGGCTAGTTAGTGGTAGTGCTAGGGGCTAGTTAGTGGTAGTGCTCGTGTCTGGTTGCCTAGTTAGTGGTAGTGCTCGTGTCTGATTGGCTAGTTAGTGGTAGTGCTCGTGTCTGGCTGGCTAGTTATCGGTAGTTCTAGGGGCCGGCAGCATTGGGGCGAGGGGTGGGGTTGGCGGGTACGGATCTTGGTAGTGCTGGGTGCTGAGTGGTTGTTGGGCGAGGCTCTGTCCAATGCGCTTCGCCAGGCCACGCTCCACTCCGGTTCTTCCCCTCCCCCTCTCGGTGGATGCCGAGCGGTCGAATCGCTAACTCGGGACTTCACCGCCGGGCGGCGATGTCGTCCGACCGCGGGAGACGGAGCCCAGGGTCCGTGCGGCGGCGAGTAACGCGACAACATCCGCTGCGCTGGCGGCTGCGACGATTCCGATGTGGAGCGAATCCTTCCTTGGCCTCGGGGCTGATGATGATGACGGCGGTGGTGGTGGTTGTGGTGGGAGCCACTCTATCTCGCTGCGCTCTCGCGGAAAGGCACTTCTTTTGTTGTTGTTGTCGTCGTCGCCGCGGGGACTCCGCGGTGTTCCAGACACCGCAGCGCTGGCACGACTCGGCGGTTCGAGCTCTGCAACACAACGGCAGAGGGGGGGGGGGGTGAGCGAGGGGGGAGAAAAAGACGCCGCTCCTTGTCCGTGCAGCCCCCCCTCCTCTCTTCGTCTCTCCCGACCCGTCAGCTCCCGTTCTTCCGCTCCGTGCCCATCACGTTCCTCTCATCTCCCCCTCTCTCTCGCCTCTCTTTGCTAAATCGGTGCCGGTTCGGGTGACCCTTGACGGCCGAGCAGACCACCCCCAGACATCGTAGCGAGAGGGCGAGTCACGTGTCAACTCACCAGTGGCCGGAGGAGCAGCGGGGGCCGTTGGCGAGGCGGATGAGGAGTCGCGCGCACCGCTTGTAGTCTGCGTGGGAGAGAGAGATGGAGAGGCGTGGGTGGGAGTGAATAATCATCATCATCATCACCTTGTGCACGTGGTGGGTGTGTACAGGCCAGCACCTTCACCCTACGTGGCCGCGGACAATGCACGCGAGTGCATTGTCCGTGATGGGCTATTACGGGAGCCCGATAA